CGCTGCTCCAGCAGGCCGCCGCCGCCGCCGCCGAGGGCCGCCTTGGCTCTCGAGCTGGCGGCGCGCAGGCAGCGCGGGTCGCCCGGCCTCCCGCAGCCCCGCTCGGGCCTCCGGCGGCGTGGGCCCCGCGGAGGGCTGCGCCACGCGCTGCTGCCCGCCCCGCCCTCCGGCCCAGTGCGCGGCGGCCCCGAGCGGTCTTTGTGTGTGCGCGGCGCAGCTCGTGGGCAGTAGATGCCTCGGGCAACGCCGCCCAGGTTGGGTTTCAGTCAAGCTGCTGCAGGTGGCGAGGCGGCTTGCAGTCGGGACCCTCACTGGGTTTGTTGGCATTCTTGCTCCTGTCGGGAGTGCCGTAGTGCTGCCTTAAGATGACTTGCCGGTCAGGTTAAAGGCTCCTAATGCCTGTTGCGGTTGCCCTGCCTTGAAAATAGGGATGTTTCCGCTGCTGCCATGGGATGGGCTTCCACTACGTGTAGGTTCCTGTACACCAGTGTTTCCAGTGCCAAGGAGGAACAACTATAAAATAAAACTACTGTGAGAGGAAGAGGCAACAAACTTAAATTTTATCAAGGTTTGAAGCAAAAATTGGTCTTATTATTTTCCTTGAAGCAGGCAAGAAGCTAAAGGGCTTTTTTGTGCTAGAGAGGTAATGAAGCCCATCAGCAACCTCACCATTGACCCTGCGGTGTTGGTGAGGAGTACCAGGAGGAATTTGGTAGCCTGCCCTTCTGTGACCTGGTTATGCTTAACAGAAGCTTAAGGGGCAAAGTTAACTGAAGAACAAACCAGCAGTTCTTTGGTTAACTTTGAATTGTCTGAGTTCAGAAGTCCTTCTCACAACCTATGAATTGGGGCATTCGTAGGTTACTGCCAGGAACCAGAAGTGAGTGATTCCCCACTGTCTGTGATGCCTTCCTTAACCCACAGCTTGTTGCCAGATATGTCATAACATGTGAACTGCCATATTGTGTCATTTCTTTTGAATGTTTGCAGCCTGTTAATCTGTTGCAGTAAAACAAATACTGTTTGTGGCTGCTTAAGGAAAATACTAGAGTATAAGGTTTTGTGGAATGCACTTGATAAGTCCACAGTCTTGGTTGGTCAGATGAGATTGTGAAGATAACTGATAATGCACATAAGCGTATAAACTCTGAGCATGCAGTGATTTCCTTTTAACATGTGTTGGTTGCAACAAATGTTTATATGTGCTGATATTATTGTCTGTCTTTTTTCAGATCGAAGTGAATGATTTTGGATAGAAGACTTTTTAAAAAGAGTTGTTCCACAGTGCATCAGAGCAAGTGACTGCTTTACTCTTGAGAGACTTTACAGGCGCTTGCCTGCGTTGCAATAAAGGACTCATTTATTGAGCAGGACCTTATTTATCTCTTCATCTTGGAGAGTCTAATAAACTATTACAGTTTCTGTACTCACAAAGTTGAAAAAGACATATTACAAAGCAAAACATGAGTACAGCCAGAACAGAGAACCCTGTTATAATGGGTCTCTCCAGTCAAAATGGACAACTTAGGGGCCCAGTGAAACCCACAGGTGGCCCAGGAGGCGGGGGAACACAGGCTCAGCAACAGATAAACCAGCTGAAACATCCCAACACAATCAACAATGGCACTCAGCAGCAAGCACAGAGCATGGCCTCCACTATCAAGTGAGTACTTGCCTAAAGACTCCGCAGCCACGTTTGTACTGTGGTGATGGTTCCAGAGTCCTGGTCCTTTGTCCTGGAAAGTGAGTGGGCTTTTTGGCCAGTTAATGCAATGTCAGACCTTAATTATCATCCCTTCTGTTTTGTTACATTGTTTTTTTCTCTAATTCTGATGGATTGCTTTCGTTTAAAGGGGTTTTTGTGTCTACAGGATAGCCAGTGTTTCCATTGCTGCAAATAGAATCTAGTTTGGTTGTGTTGGGCTCTGCACTGTTTTGGTCTCCAGCATCAGCGCTTCAACAAATTGATTATATCATTGATGAACACTGAAAAGAATTCTTAATTTTTGTATTTTAGCTTCATTGTTTTGCAACTGTATATAAAGCTATCCTTATACATAGTGCTTTAGATTAGCACAGGTAAAGACCAGTTCCTATCCTGTGGACTTTAGTGGACATCAGTTAAGGCATGATTATCTGCTCTATATATTTTGGAATAAGTGTAGGTGCAAATAAATCATTCAGGTTCTCTACATTCTTCTTCAGGACTCCTTTAATTCCCATATAGCTCAGTGGTCCAGTAGATTTCCTGCTTCTGATGTAGTTGAACTTCTTTTTATTGTATGTCAATATTTCAGTAATATTTTCCTCAAAGTCCTTTTTTGCATCCCTTGCTGTCTGCCTGCTTCTGTTTCATGCATGTTGGTGCCCTTGTCATTCCCTGTCTGAGCAAGACTTGAATTTTCTGAAGGAAGCTCTCTTGCCATGTAATTTCCTTGCCAGTGATTTCTACTCGTATTTTGTAGTACCTTTCCTGGGCTATGATATACATTCTAGCTGAACTCTACATTTGCACTTGTGTGTAGCCTTCACACATTCTAGAGAGGTGTGATTCTCTTGACTTTCCATTTCAGCTTCCCTTTTACCAGTCTCCTTATTTTGAGAAGTTTCCTCTTTTGGAGTCAAAAATGAGTGTGCTGGGCTTCCTTGGCAACTTTCAGCTTACATACATAGAATAGTAGAGTTGGAAGAGGCCAGGAAGGCCATTGGGTCCAACCCCCTATTCATTGCAGGACTCCAAGTTAAACCGTCTCTCTCAGATGGCTCTCCAGGTGCATCCTGAGTGCCTCTAGTGTGGGAGAGCCCACAACCTCCCTAAGTCATGTGTTCCATTGCCGTGCTCCTCTAAGTTACACTTGATACCATTGTGGTCATGATTCCTTGTTGCTTCAGCAGAATGGGTGCCACTTGGGGTTCAGGTCAGGTTCACCTCAATTCCATGACCAACAGTTGTAGTGCACAGTTAAGGTATCTAGATGTTTCATCCCTTGTTGTGACTGGAACACACAATTTTCTTTGTGTGAGTAATTGAAGCCCCACCCCATTGTCATAACACTTATTCCCTCAGATAGCCTGCCTGACCATTCTCCACCTCAGGATCATCCTGAGTATTCTGGTTAGTGCGATAATAGCATTTTACCCTTGCAAAATTACTTTTGTGGCTTGGTATTTTCTAGATTTTGTTATATACTGGTCCCATTATGTACTTCCCTGCTGTTCCTATAAAATGTGTACCTAGAGTTGACTATATTGTACTGGTACTTTCTATTCTACCTGTTTTCTCTTATGCCCACTATATCTGAATTCTTCTGTATTCATCTTTAATACCAAGCATGCTGCAGATCCAGCAACCCATTCAGTCATAATGGAACATAGATTACCTCTCCCCATACTTTAAGATGAATCATGGGAAGTCAAGAAAGCTTCATTAAGTATTATTTTATGATGGCATGCTTTGTATTAGATAAAACACAACCCTCCTGCAATGGGAACCAATTCCACAGGTGGGTAGTGGATAAAATCAAGAACCAATGCTTAATGATGCATTCATATCTACATATATGAGACTTTGGCTTGGTCTCCAAGGGGTAGACTGAGGCAGCAGGCTATTATGTAAGGGAATATGAGCCTGCAGAGTGGCAAAATTCAAATGACTGCTCTTACATGATGCATAATGCTCATTCTGGACAGCTTCCCTTCCTGTGAAATCCGCAGGTGCTGGCTGCATGGCTTAAATTGACTTCCAATAGCTGTACCATAAATCTATTCATTTTACTCTAGTTTGACTGTCATGCCTGCATCAAACCACAATTCCAGAATTCTTTGTGGAAGGCTTGACAGGCTGTTGATCTGGAGTAAAAATCAATACATCTGTGGTGTGTTGGGTATTTGCTATTAGTTTTCTTGTCCTCTTTCCAAAACTAATAGCTGTTTGAGAGAATTAGCTTTCTCTTTGTCATGTTATTTTCTGCATATCAGGCTGCTGACGGGGACTGGGCATTACTCTCATATAACCCCAGTCCTCTACCAGCTTCACTGGCTTCCCATCAAAGTCTGGGCTCAATTGAAGGGCTAGTTATTACTTATAAAGCCCTTAACAGCTTGGGACCTGGATACCTAAAGGAACGCCTTCTTCCATATTTGCCCTCCCACCCCCTGAGATCAGCAGCAGAGGCCCTCCTCTGAGAACCCTCCATGAAAGACATTAGGAGGCAAAGTACCTGGAGGAGGGCTTTCTCTGCGGTGGTGCCCCACTTATGGAATGCGTTCCCCAGAGAGGTCCGCCTGGCGCCGTCGTTATTTGTTTTTTGGTGCCAGGCTAAGACCTTTTTATTTCAACGATATTTTAATAATTTTTAATATCAGTTTATAGGTTTTAATATGCAGCCAGGGTGGATCTGGATTTTATCTGTATTATGTTTTATGGGACAGCATACAAATGCCCTAAATAAATAAATAATAAATATCTGGGTTTGCAATTCTCAGCTCTGAATGGGATGGCACATCGTGCATGATGAAGTGACAGCTAAACTGGGAATACGATATCCAGGAGCTGATATAACGCTATTTTTTCATTTCAGGCCTGGCGACGACTGGAAGAAGACTTTAAAACTCCCTCCAAAAGATCTGAGAATCAAAACTTCGGTAAGGGGTTCCTCGAGTTATAGAGCATCCATTTATTTTAGGGTGTTCTGCTTGGGTTTTAAACCCAAGTAAGGGTTGGAAAAATATGTGGCAAAAGATCTTCCATTTTCAGCTGAATGAAAACTTTCCAACTCAACTAGTGATTATGTTGGTCTGTCATACAGACTGAAAAGAAATATTTGTGTGCCTTCATGCACAAAGTATGGTTCACTTTATAGCTTATTGTCCACGATAAATAGATATGTGATAGAGAAGCATGCCCTTCTTACTGGTCACCTGCTTTGGGGTTTTACCTTGTATTACAATTGCCGGTGTGAGAGAGAACATAAGCTGACTATACTGCTTTGCCCGTTCAGGATGTGACGTCCACGAAAGGAAATGAATTTGAAGATTACTGTCTGAAACGGGAGTTGCTGATGGGAATTTTTGAAATGGGCTGGGAAAAACCATCTCCTATTCAGGTTGGTGCATGACAATTAGTGGTTGCTATTGCTCAAAAAGAATGTGTAAGGCGCTGGCTTCATAAGTGGGCACAGAAGAGGGCCAGCGGAATGAAGCGTGGAATTACGCGACTTCAGCGCACTTCCACTGGTGCCTTGGCTGTGCAGCTTGATTCAATAGCCAGCTGAAGCTCTTCTGTCATGCGTGAGTGGGCAGAATTTAGGAGCTGGTGGTTGCATCGGGTTAGTATAGAACTTCCTCTGTCTTTAGAAATCTTGTTCAGCAATCTGAGAACCCCTCATGGCTGGCTAACTAGGAGGAAAGCCATTGGGCAAGTTCTCATGATTCTGTTGGCTTCATAGCGTGAGGTTTTTTCTCCTACAGTGGCTTGCCATGTCTGAGCCCAGGGAATGGATCCCATTGTGGGTATCGGGAAGAGCTGGCAGGCTGTTTGGCAAGAGCCGGAAACTCCCCGGACTGGCTAAGTTTGCCCAGGCCAACGCGAGCCCTCCACCACCCACGGCCAAGCGGTGTGGTGGAGTGCCCCGACGCAGTTGGGAACTCAGCTTGGCTTGCTGTGCCTTTTTTCACTTCTCTTCTTTCAAGGCAGCATATTTTTATTTCAATAAATAAATGCTCAAATTTTCCCATTGCAAAAAAGGGGCTGAGACATAGATCTCCTCTTTGGGAGTAGCTGGAGGCTCAGGGAAGTTTGGAGATGGATGAGAACTTTCAGAGCTATAGTTAAAAACTACAGAATCACACTACTAAGGGGTGATAAACATGCTTTCTTTTCATTTGACATAGATTGCTGTTAAGTAGATGAAGAATGGAATTATTTATTTCTACACTGCCCAATAGCCAAAGCTGTCTGGGCAGTTCACAACAATTTCTCAAAAGTATAGAAAAGAGATACAATATACTGATGTCATAAAACACTGTAACTTTACAGTATACAAATTTAAAACAATTTAACATTTCAGTATACAAAAATGTAGAATAGAATAAACATCTAAACCAACCTCAGTAAAACTAGTTCTAATTAAAGCAGCTAGCATGCCCATCATATGCTATTAAATGCTTGGGTAAAGAGTGCAGTTTTAACCTGGCACTGGAAAGATTGCTGTGTTGGTGCCATGTGGGCCTCAGTGGGGAGGTCATTTCACAGTGAGTTTTTTGCAAATGCATTTTGTCAATGTCCATGAACATACATGGCATATACTTATCGAGATGTTGACCAGGCAATATCTCACAGTTAGGAAGCCATAACTGCACAGCCATGTAAGACTGGGGAGAAAAAAATTAAAATAATCTCAGTTGTATGCATTTCTGCTGCCTAAATTTTTTTTACGGTACAGCAAACTAGTGCCTGTTGTTCCAAAGTGCTATTTGGATATTGGTGAAGTGTCTGTCACTAGTGGAGGCCCACAAGATTGCTGAGAGAGTGTGTGTGTGAGGTTGCCACTCATATGAGAGCTTCACTTGCTGCTTCCCACAATGGGTTTGGCCACCCAAGTTCAGGCAACACGGCAACCCATATGACAAGCCATGTGATATCTCATTGCTTCATTGCCCCAAAATGAGCCACTCTGTGGGAAGCAGCCGGGGTTCACCTGACACAGTTAGCCACTGTGTCTTGTGTTGTGTGAACCCAGCCGTTGTTTTCTGTGTACTTCAGAGGTGTTTCTGTTGCCTGAAATTGTTGAAGTGTTCAGCACGTTTGTTTGTTTATGCATCCAGCCCTGATCTTCCAAAAAGCCAACAAACGGAAAGCCCTTTCTGGCTCCCGTGGCCTTTTCTTTTCCATGGCAGCCTGTTGCTGAGGACAAAGCTGAGCTTATCTTTGGCTTTAAACCTCCCTCACAGCTGTATGCTACCCTTGAGGAATAGAAAGTACCCTTCTCAGCCCACCCTCCGCAGTATCTCGTTAATGTCTTGGTTGTTGTACTGACATAAGGGGGAGCTCTTCTGCTTTTTCTGGGGGGCAGTTCATGGTGACTGCTTGGGTGGAAACCTGCTGCTGCTGTAGATAATGAAAGGAAGGTTGCAGCAGGGGGAGCAGGGTCCTCGGTGTTTTGCAATCTGGATTACTGATGGAGGGGCTCTGTCCTCCTTCTCCCCCTTGCTGAAAAGGGAAATGTAGTATTGTCTCATACTGATTCCTGCAGCTTCTTTGCAGGAGGAGAGCATTCCTATTGCTTTGTCTGGGAGGGATATCTTGGCCAGAGCTAAGAATGGAACCGGTAAGAGCGGCGCCTACCTCATTCCCTTACTTGAACGGCTTGACTTAAAGAAGGATAACATACAAGGTAGGTTGAAGAGGGGAGCACAAGTAAGATTCATCTGGCCTCAATTGCATCTTGCCTCTTACAATGCTTCCTGCTTCCACTTCCCACTTCATTCGTGTCAGGAGAATGAAACCATCTGGGAGAGTTTGTCAGGGCTGACAGTGTTTCTTTGGCCCTGCCTCCTCAGCAAGACCCCTTTCCCCGTATTTGTTGATAACTTTCAATACTACCCTTTCACTGAAGCTCTTGGTGGTTTACACAGGCTGTTACTTTGATTTATCCAGGCATAATATTTTTGAATGGAAGTTAAACTGAACTTGCTCGCCCATGTAAAAGGAAAGGGATCAGAGCTGTGAAACTCCTGCTGCTGAGAACTTCTCTGCCATGGACAGACTTAAGGGTAGATTTGGTAGATCTTGCAAATCACAGTGGGACATCACTACTCTTTAAAATACTGTGCCTCCATTCTGCCTGTTAGGAACAGTCAGTTAAGAACATAATTGCTTTGCTAGATCAGTCTCTTTGTGTCCAACATTCTTTGTCTAAAAACAGACCTCTGCATAGCTTTAGAGGTTGAAAGTCACTTCCTGCATGTCCTCCAAGATATGTTACTTTTAAACCAGGAAGTTCCATTGAGTTAAATCTTTTTTTCCAAGTAGATATTGCCAGTTCTTTATAGCGAATTCCATAAGTTACTTGTGCAGTGAGTGAAAAGCCATTTACTTTTATCTCCGGAACTTTACATTAGTCAGTTTCACTTGATGTTGAGTCCTTTCTCCTTTTTTTAGATGCTTTAAAGAAACTGAATTGTCTATCCACTTCCATCACAGTGTTCAGAGTTTAATGGTTGTTTTATATCCACAGAGTGGATAAAAGGCTGGTGAGAGCAATGAAATCTCTGAAAATCTCAAGTTTAGCTCCTCTTAAATGAGACAAATTACTGGCATAAAGTTTCATGGATCATGTGGCCTGAATATTCTCCCCCTCTTGCAGCAATGGTGATTGTTCCCACACGAGAACTTGCCCTGCAGGTCAGTCAGATCTGCATCCAGGTCAGCAAACATATGGGAGGGGCCAAAGTGATGGCAACCACTGGAGGAACCAACCTGCGCGATGACATAATGAGGCTGGACGATACAGGTAGGATGCCTTGGGTGCTGCTGAGGCCCTGGCTTCAGGCGGGACTTGGGCACTCCAATTCCACTTTGCCAGGTTTCAGGTACCATAATTCATCTGTGCGGGTGTCTCTTCGCAGTGCACGTGGTGATAGCTACACCAGGGAGGATTCTGGATCTCATCAAGAAAGGAGTTGCCAAGGTGGACCATGTCCAGATGATTGTTCTAGATGAGGTAATCTCAACAAAGCTCAAGTTTCTACGCTTTTTGTTTTTGTTTCGAAATATCATCTGTTCATGACTTGCGAAGGAAAATCCTTCTCTGTAAATGGGAGGGCTGTGTAGCTGGAAAAACTAACTTCTGTGGAAAAATAGGTAAAGTTCATTTTGGCCAAAGGCTCTGAAACTAGTATCAGAGCTCTACTAGGTGGGAATATTTTAGCGCTGAAGCAATTGTTAAATGTCCAGCAGGTTTAGACAGACTTGGAACAAGCCTTCCGATGTTTCATAAGCACTTTAATGTTAAATTGGTCCACTTCTCATTGCAGGCAGACAAGTTGCTGTCCCAAGATTTTGTTCAAATAATGGAAGACATTATTCTCACGCTACCTAAAAACAGGCAGATCTTGCTATACTCAGCCACGTTCCCTCTAAGTGTACAGAAGTTTATGGTGAGTGTGTGGTGGTTGAGTGGTGGTCTTGGGCTGTGTTCCGCTTGCAGCAGCCATTTTGATTAATCTGGTATTTATAAACAGCTGAAGGAATAGGCCGTGCTTCCTTCTGGGCTGCACTGTTCACGTTGCCCTAAATGCCAGGACGCTTCTGTTTCAGAACTCCCACTTGCAGAAACCATATGAGATTAACTTGATGGAGGAGCTGACACTGAAGGGAGTTACCCAGTACTACGCTTATGTAACTGAGCGCCAGAAAGTGCATTGTCTCAACACACTCTTCTCCAGGGTAAGCACTGCTGTGTGGTTCCCACTTATACCCTCCAAATTGTGCTTTGTGTATGGAGATGGAGGCCAGGCCACTTGCCCAAACACTAAACTAAGGAGAAGTCTGTTTCGCCTAGAAAAGAGAAGTGGAGTGGAAATGAGGGCTACTAAGAAATACGGCTTTCTGGGAAATGGTTGCATTTCGCCACCATTACAACAGTGCCTATCATTTCCAGAGTTGGTTGACCCTGACTGCCTTTTCTGTGGGCACATTACCCCCAGGAACACCCTTCCTTCAGGAGGGTGTTGGCTGCCTTCAAAATAGGGCTGGAACTCTGGGAACCTTTCAGTCGATGCACGTGGCTGTATGCTTCATGGCTTGGACAGGTGTGAAGCTGTGTCCCATCTTGGAGAGGGCAAGGGGTGTTGTAGGTGTCACCCGGAGGAGTAAAGAGCTGGTGGTGAATCGAAGTGGCATCACCTGGCTCATTTTGCAATTGGAAGAAGGCTGGTATTTTTTTCCATAAGTTTTGGAGCTGCTTAGAAACTTCATATGAATTCAGACTTGAAGGTGATACCAAATACTGGACAAGCTCACGGGTTTTCCAGGGAGCCAGGCCAGTGGAGTGAATGGGACAGCAACTAGAGCAGCGCTGATGGGGAGCCCGAGTCCAGTCAAACAGACTTTGAAAGCCCAGAGAACTTTGGCTGTGCCATAGTATAAAAATGAAATTAATAATTGTCGCCGCAGATGGTGAGGGTGGTGAGCAGGCTGCTGTTCTCATGCACCATTGCACCTCTGTAGGGTTGCCTGCTGGCGCTCTTTTCAGCGATCTTTTCAGCCTGGTACGTTCTGGCCCACAAACAGAAAGGGTGTGGTACCCATGCATTGCGATCAGTCTGTGTGACACTACCAAGATGACATCACTTCCAGTGCCAGCTTAGATTGATAAGGAGCCAGCAGATAAAACTTTGTCGAGTTACACTACATGTTCTCTCATTAGTCCAGCTGAGGATATTAATAGGGCTCTGTGTGTGTAGGATGCTTGCCCTTCCTGGGGTGGGGTGGGAAGGACTGACAGAGCAGGCAAAGAAAGGTTGAGTTTACTTACCTCCTTACTTACTAGATCTATATTTTGTTTTTACCCTATAATGATAATGTCAGAAAAAGGAGGCCAAGGAGGACGAAAGGGAGCATTCTGAGGGGTGTGGAGGGAAGTAAAAAGCAAAGGTCAGGATGCCTTTTATCCAAAGCCTGCTTTGGCATTAGCTAAAAGCCTGGTTAGTGAACATCACCCAAGCAAACACCGGGAGGCACTGTTCCTCCTCCCACCCCTCGCGCCTTGCCAGCTTCACCACAACAGGGCATAGGAGACTTGGCATTAGGCAGGGATTGTGCTTGTAGCAAATACTGTGAGGGAAATGTTTGTGAAGGTGGCAGTATAATTTGTCTGCACATTTGAGCATTTAACCCAGAACTAAATGAGATGCTTGTCTAGGTTTTAAAGGTCAGTCAGCTTAGAATGGACAGGCAGTGAGCAACATGCAACATAACTCTTTTGTATTTGTATTTAGCTTCAAATTAATCAATCAATCATCTTCTGCAACTCCTCCCAACGGGTTGAACTGCTAGCTAAGAAAATCTCCCAGCTGGGGTATTCGTGCTTCTACATTCATGCCAAGATGAGACAGGTCAGTATGACATTCAGAACACTGAACAAGCACTCCCAGGAAGTTAAGTCTAATTCTAAAGCCGATAGAGTGCTAGAAGAGGCAAGGTTTCCTCAAATTTTTCTGCTTTGCTGCATTTTAATGCTTTTTGGAACTGTCTTCATTGCTTTACTGCTTTTATCACAATATTCTCTGAGTTCCTGAACCAAACGGATTCAGCTTTATCTTAGTATCCTGGAAGGATGCTGTAGAGAATTCAAGTTCAAGGAGAAGTGGGTGGATCCTGGGGAGAGAGCGGAAGAGGCAAGGAGGCAGAGTAAATGGCCCAAGAAGTAGTGGTCCAGAGGTGCAGGCGCTGATGAGGCCAGTTGTTCTCCAGTGAGATGCGTGGTGTGGCCAGCCGCCTGCGTGTTCGGCCGTTTATCGCTCCTGTTGGTGAACAGTCCCCCATTGTTGCTTTCCAGGAACACCGCAATCGAGTGTTCCATGATTTCCGGAATGGTTTATGCCGCAATCTTGTTTGCACTGGTAAGTGTCCTTCAGTCTTTTCTCGTTCTCATGTACTGTCCCAAGACTAGCACTTTAGTGACCAGGCAATTTCAAAGAGAAGTTAGACTTCCGTTTTGGAAATCCTTAATGGCTGCTCCATAATTTGGCATTTGAGTGCACTGAGTGAGTGAGTAGGCGGCCACCAGATTCTCCAGGGCTCCGGGGTAAGATAAGGGTATTTTCTAGGGCTCTGGGGTATTTTCTAGGTGAGATAGCTGAAAGGTGGGAGACTTGGAAGTGGGGTCTGAGTTATTTCATGGTTATTCCATCAGAATGGCCTGCATATCTGCGATGGAGCCTTGAGGATCTGTCCCTGAAAGCCTTGCATCTCTCAACAAATCTGTAACCTAAACAGTTCACTAAAGCAGAAAAAAATGGAAAATGAGCTGAGTCTTAACTGTTTGGGAGTCTGTCCTGCTGCTGCTTTTTGGTTGAGGAGGCCCCTGCTTGCTGCATTAGTTAAATTATTTAAACTGGAATGTTTCTCTTTCAGATCTGTTTACCCGAGGTATTGATATCCAAGCTGTGAATGTTGTGATAAACTTTGATTTTCCAAAGCTGGCAGAGACGTATCTCCACCGTATTGGCAGATCAGGTGCGGGAGCCATAGCTTGACTGGCGTGCTGGTGGTGGCAGGAGGAGTATCGCTACTTGGCGATGTGCCTGCGTCGCTTGGCAGGAGGGGCAGGCTCTGGAGCCGTGGGCAGGCTGGGAGCAGAGTCAGTGCAGCAGCCTCCTCTCTGCTTATCTGCTTTGTTAGCCGGGGGGGGGGGGGGGGGGGGGTGTCTGTGAGCAGCGGTGCTAAGCAGAGCTCCACTTGGTGAGCTTCCATCATCCATCCGGGTACGTGAGCTGGAGCTGTCCCTGAAAACTGTCCAGAAGACTCAGTTGCTGCAGTCACAGCTCCTCTCTCTGCGAGCTGCTTGGCAGAGAACTGGTCTCTGTGGCAGGCACATGCTCCCAGGCTGGTCCTGAGCTTAGTGCAGTGCACTAGGGAAGCCCAGCTTAGCCCCACTCCCTTTATACTGCACTACCCAGGTGCACTTGGGGTTGGCACTTTTTCCAGTGTGGCGGCAAGGGTGAAGTATGGGCAGGAGTTGTCTCGGGTCCTCAGAACAGGGCTCTATAGGGGTTATGAACACAAAGGAAGGCCCTGCAGCTCGATCAGAGCCAAGGGGGCCTCTCCAGGATTCCTTTTACAAGGCGTCCAACCAGACTGCCGTCGGAAACCCACAAACTGGACGTCAGCGCTTGACTACTCAGGCGGGCTTTTCAGGGGAATGTGCGAATCTGTCTTGCTTTGTTTTCTGTGATATTTGTAGCCTGCTTTTGAACTGAAGAAAAGCAGTGTGTAACTTAATTTTATGACAGATCAAATTATAAGGGTTTTTTCTCAGCATTCTTCCTATAGGTCAAAATGCCACATTTTTTAAAGCTTTTTCAAAAGTTTGCAATACCCACAAGAGGGATGTGAAACCTGACAGTGCGGCCATTATGGCTGGGCAGGCAGGGAGAGCTGGCAGGACTGTCTCTCACGCTGGTGTTCAGAGCTTTCCGGTAGCACGCCAGCCAGATGTAGCCACGCAGAAGAAGTTGTCCGGTCGCCTTATCTGACCTCAGCTGTTTCTCTCTCCTTGAAGGTCGATTCGGCCATCTCGGCCTCGCCATCAACTTGATCACCTATGATGATCGATTCAACCTGAAAAGTATTGAAGAGCAGCTGGGTACAGAAATCAAGCCCATCCCCAGTAACATTGACAAGAGCCTGTATGTGGCAGAATACCACAGCGAGCCTGTAGATGATGAGAAACCATAACCGCTGCGTAGGTATCTGACCTGGGCCCCGGGGGGAGAAGCGGGCTCCCTGGGCCATCCGCCAGTCGCGCAGAGCGGCCGCACGTGGGCGGGCGGGGGCCGAGAAGGCCATTGGGCCCAGTGCCGCCACCAGCGCCGGACTCCAGGTTCAGCCGTGCCTCTCGGAGAATTGTCCCAACGGCCTCTTGCATGCCTCCGGGGTGGGAGAGCCCCCGCCCCCCCGGGTCACAAGCTCCACTGCTGCACTGCTCCCGCAGTCGGGAAGAGGTTCCCAGTGCCTAGCCCGAGCCTGGCCTCTTGCACTTGAGCCCCTCGTCCTGTATCCTGCACTCCTGGGTGCTTAGGAGCGCTCCCAGCCCCCGCCGTGCAACAGGCTTTCCAGTGAAGGGCTGCCACATCTCCCCTCAGTCTTCTCAGCGCTAAGCATGCCCAGTTCTTTCCATCTTCCCACCTGAGGTTTTGTTTTGAGCTGCCTGATGGTTTTCCTTGCCCTCCTCTGAACTTTTTTGAGCATTTCTTCATCATTCTTGAAGTGTGATGCCCAGACCGGGTCACCGAGCCCCAAAGAGGCCTAGCTAGTGCTGAATCGAGGGGAACCGGTTCATCAGGCTGTTTGGAAGCTGTATTTCCACTAATGCAGCCCAAAGTAGCATTAACTCTTTTTTGCAGCCACATCACATGGTTGACTCATATTCACCCTACAACCTGCAACAAGTCTGAGCTGCTGCTTGTGTGCGGCATTGTTGAGCCAAGTGTCCTCCATCTTGTAACTCTGCATTTGGTTCCCTTTTCTCATGTGTAGAACTTAGCATTTATCCCTATTAAATTTCATTCTGTTGTTTTCCACCCAATCTTGTGTCACCTGCAAATTTGATTAGCATTCTCTGCACCTCTTCATCCAAGTCATTGATAAAAATGTTGAAGAGTGCTGGTCCCAAGACTGAGCCCCCCAGCATCGCATCCATTGCCTCTCTCCAGTGTGAGAAGGTGCCTCTGAGTCCAGTTCCGTGGCCAGCTATGATCATCGTTCTGCCTGGCCCACTTTCAGCTGGTTTGCTGTTCAGGATGTCATGGAGGCGCCTTTTCCCTGCAGAGCTTGATGCCGCACCCTAAATGGTGTTCTGTGCAAGCGCCCTTTGAACAGGGCTGGCAGCAGGTGAGGAGCTCTGTTGCCGCTCCTTGCCTTTTGTAGGCCTCAGCCGCTGGCTGAGTGTTGGCGAGACCAGATTAGGGGGTGTTGCTTGGTCGTGAGGCACCCTGTGACTTCTAGAGATGTCGATCTTGGAGGGTTGCCAGCTGGAGCTGGATGTCTGCTTGGCGGCTCTTGGGGTGAGTGTTCCCAAGATGCAGGCCAAACGTGCCGTACCCCGTAACCTGTGCAAATGGATCATGGGGCAGCCAGCGAAAATAAGGCTGAGATAATGCAAAAGAATGAGGCACGTTCTGCGAGGCAGGTCTTGGGGAAAGTAATGGTTCTTCCGGCAGACAGGGCCTTCCCTCTTGGCACATGGAGGAGGTGGTACTTCTCTTCAGTTGAAGGCATCCACTGAGCTTTCAGTGCTGGCATGGTGGCTGGGATCACATGGTATGGTAAACACTCCTGCACAGCTTCCTCAAGTCTTGCCTGAGCTGAGCAGTCAGGTGCTCATGTGATTCCCCACCCCATCTTCCCAGACTTGTCTCACATCCTGGAAGGCCCCACAGAACAATCCCCATCTTCTCTCTGATCTGGACTACAGATTTCGGTGACTTCTCTCTCCAGCTTCCACTGCAGCCCTGAAGTGGGTTCTCCCTTCCCGCTCCTGAGTGTGCCTGCATGCCTGGTGCAGTTCTCAGCCACACCAACCACCACAGAGATTTCTAGTAAATGGAAATTAATGGTTTCACTGCAATTCTCCCTTCTCTCTCTCTGCGTTTTCGTGCTGTCTCTCTTTCTAAAAGTAAACAGAGACGGATACATTGCTTGGCCATTGGGAATAAAATGAGCAACAGTGCATCTGTAGCTAGAGAGTTGAGAGCATTAGAGATTGAAGGCTAGAAGTGGCAATTCCTGCAACCATTCTTGCCAGCATAGTCTATTATGTTTCCATACCAGCAATGGTAAAATGGTGATTCTGGGTCTGAATGACCAGAGAAGCCACAGTGATGCATTTTGAAACCTGTGATCAGACTGTAGCTACTCTCTGTGGCTTAAGAAAACTAATCCTACCACACCAGGCTATTTCTGGAGGACACAACAAAGCCACAGTGGTAAGATTGTGGCCCCTTCCAACTCTACTCTTCTATGGCTGTGATTTCACCTTGGCTTCTCCTCCTGTGCTTACTTGCCCCCTGGCTCTGGCCAGATTCTTCCAGTACAACTGCTTGATCATTGTAATTGGTTGCGTGTTCCTTTCCCTCAAATATTCTGAAGTTGTTCAGCCTTAGCCGAGAAGGTAGTCCTTACATCAAGGGAAAGAGAAGACAAGGAATCCCTTACTGGCATCTTGGGTGTTTTCATGTTGTTGGGCAGTCTGCGCATACGTAGTTCTCCATGCGTGACGGGGGTGCCTGTGTTCCTACCAGACTTTGTGGGGAGGAATAGGTCAAAGGTATTATGTTCATAGGTATTTGTCACAGGTATTTATTGGCTCAAAAGCTGTAAAATTAATAAGCAGACAACCATTTTGCCTTGAACAGAATACTGTGCCATGGCATTATCGCTGCAGCATTCAAACTTTGATCAACAAGTAGTTGGAATGAGGAACCATTGTATGTGGACTAGAGGCCTTTTTTTTTTTTCTTTTTACCCTGAGGTTGCACATGCGAGAACCATTCAGTCTAGCTAAAGCACCATTGTGCCATCTGGAAAATTTTGAACTTGGCTTTTATAGGTATAAGGAGTCCAATATATGGTTTTAAAATAACTCTTCGCCAAAAACATGGCAAAAAGCATAGCACTTGACATAAAAATGGCAGTGAAAAGCCAGTGCTTGCTGACAAGTATTTATGTAAAAGGAGGAGCAAAGAGAAGAAACAGTAGAGCAGTTCAGTCAGAGAGGCAGTGAAAGGCAAGTCTCTAAACGCGGAGGAGCGGGGAGGATCCAGGAGAAGTGCTGGCCGCTCGGGAGCTGTTGTGTGTGGGCTTGCGGGAGCAGCGCTGCTGGCTGCCTGGGCTCTGGCGTGGCTCCGCCACCCTCCTCCACCGCCCGCTTTGAGTATATGGTGGCATGAATATCGACTGTCCAGTGTTGTGCTGGCCACAGACGTCACACTCGCCAGATGTGCACATCACACAGTTTGGGGTGGTTGCATAACCTTGAAGTGGGTCGTGGGATTCGCAAGGGTTGCTGAGCCCTCACTTCGTCTGCAGCTGCGGCGTTCGCGTCACCTGGAAAGCCGTGGTCCGCCGCTTGCTGTTTTTTGCCCCTTCCTTGATTCTGATGAGTGTTTTTCCTCCTTTCCAGGCTTTGCTTATCATGCAAGCTGAAGCCCTTTGATCTGGACATGTGATACGCCGTTTCTTTGGGGACGCCCTTCTCTCTGTGGGGTTTCCATCTTTTTGTTTTGGAGCTATGAAGATTAAAGAGCTATTTTTTTTCTTTCTTTCTTTTCTTTTTTTAAATATTTGGCTGTGAGGATGAAAGCAGAAGATAGGAAGGAAATACCTTTGTTTTCCTACGTGTTTGCACTGTGTGCTGACTGAACATTAGTTGCACTAACTGCTGGTTTTAATTTCTTTCTTTGTGGTGGAGAAGAAGAACTCTGAAAAGAGAAGACTCCCTAACTCAAGCTTGACTGCGATTTCAGATTCACCCACAGCCACCTGACTGAGTGCATTTCAACTTCCCCCGGCTCCTCATCTGTCTTTTAAGCTAAAGAGCTTGTTACTTATTTGTGCAAAGTGCCTTATGCTATGAGACCATTCAGAATATCACCTTTCAGATACAGCCCAAGGACTCATTTTGGTTCAGGTCAAAGTCTCTCTCCCCACCTCCACTCCCCTCCTCTCTTGCACACAAGCTGGGCCGGGAGGTGACGCTTGTCAGTAATACCTTTCTGTTTAACCTTTTTCTTGTTTAATGGAGGAGTTGAGATGCAGGTGCAGTTCACCCACTCTGTAAATACTTGTATTTAAATGAAACAACCTGGACCACCTGGGTTGATTTGAGTGCAACTTCTGCACTCCCGCGGAAAAGAACCACTTGCCGCCGACCTGCAGCAGGAGGCACCCGAGGAACCCGTGCGCTCGCACAGAGCGCTACAGACTGGCTGCCGTGAGTCCTCGTCGGTGGTCGCAGCACTTGCGAGGCAGACTTGTCTCGGAGCCGTGGCAGTCCTTCCTTTCTGGTGTGTTCCACAGAAAATTGGATGTGTATACTTGTATAGACTCTGTAAATATGTGTTTTTCTGTTATGGGTTCATATATAACTTTCTTTTCCCTTTTTTCCTTGTTTTTGATGAAGTTTGCTGGGGTTAAAGGGATTATAGATCGATCTTGACAGCAGCTAAAGGTGAGAGGGGCTCAGTTTTTTGCAACGCTTCCCTGTGCCAAGTGCTACAACTTCCGACCGCTTGGTAGGTCAGACTTGGAAGAAATCTGGGTGTGGGGCAGGAGTGCAGAGGGAGCCTTTGTAAGGCACCATTGGAGTCCCCTCCCAAACTCCACGGAGGGAGCGGGTGCTGTTGCAGGGGCAAACCCCTTGCTTGCCATGGGCGAGGCAGAACAGGACGTACTGAGTTTGCATGTGGGGCGACAGCGAGCAAACCCCACTGGCCATGGGTCTGGCGTTCTCCTGCACTGGGTCGCCTCCCGCAACTTGGTTGTCACGATGCCTCGAGGCCATGTGCCGCGAGACTCCGGGGCAGCTCACGGGCAAGCCGGCCGCGCGGTTGTCTCTGCTGCGGGTGTTCTGCTCGCCTTGGATAGGGGAGGCACGTGGTTTAGGTCCAGGTAGTGTTGCTTTTAATTGTGCCCCTCCCAATATGCTTGATGTTTGGCCTCATCTGCAGGCAAAAGGAGTGAGACAACTCAGCCTGTAAACTTCTTAGGAATTCCCTTCCAGCCTGACCAGCAGCAGCTGCCAGGAGGCACCCGAGTGAGCGCAGGCCCTCTTCCAGGCACCACATGCTCAGAAAACAGCACTTGTGGCACCATTCTGCTTTCAGAGCTGAGTTATCCTGATTTCTCCCTACATTGAAATTGGAAATGACCGCTTTACCCAGCCCACTGTTCAGAGACCTGTGCTAGAGCCAGTTGCCTCCTGGCAGCCCTTTCAAAGCGAAAATGTTTTGTTTAAGTAATGCCACAGTAACGTAGCAGAAGCTGCACTAAAGTTCTGCTCCATTGCTGGAGACTTGACTGAGGCTGCACCAGATAGGCGAGTATTCTCTGGGGGTAGGGAAGGTTTTGTGGGTGGGAAATTCTGACCAAAAGCAAAATCTTGCTCTTCTGATGCAGCCAGTTTTGTCTTCCCAGCAGAGGAGGCAGGAGCGTTTTAGTGCAAAGTTGACAAGTGTGCAGACGCCTGAAATCCGACAAGAGCATGCACACCTGACGTGGTGCCATGTGTTGGGCTGGCAGCTCTGCCCCATGCCATGCTCATCCAGTCACTCTAGAAGCACAGCATTTTTAATGGAAAGTATTATCTAAATGTGGCTGCCGAACCAAGAACGGTATTTGCCTAGATTCTTGAGCGCCATGTTTGGGTGGCTTTTGTTGGGTCAGAAAGCCACCCGATGTTGGTTGGTAGCATTCTCTCTCCAGCAAAGGGAGGGATCTAGAAACGGAAAGATGCTCCAGGTGAAGACTGGGCAACCCCCAGTCTGTTTTTCCCCCCCTTCTTCCTCTGAAACAAACTGTAGATTTTGGATTCTTGCTCACCAAGATAGCTTGCCAGCGACATCTCCATGGAATGCAGCTGTTACCGTAGGGGAGACTGGCCGCTGAGGCATCTTGCGCCTGGCCTGGCCCGGCCCCTGGTGTGTGTCGGGAGACTCCATCTGGGCCAGGTGGCTCCCGGCCAGAAGCGAGGCCAGGCGCGAGATGCCTGCCTCAGTGCCCCGTCCTACAATGTCCTCTACTTGCCAGAGATTGCCTGGGGTGGGTGGGGGGTGGGTTCATGGTAGGTCACTTTTTAATTTCTCCAGAATGAGATGGGAGCATCTTTCCTTCGCCCTCTGTGTTTGTGTCTGTTGCTGGGGCTGCCTGAAATCACAGAGGCACGACACAAAGCCAGATGTGCTAATCTCGAGCATCTCATTCAGACTTTATTTTAAGGGTGGGGTTGCCTGCGCAGGACTCAAGTGCTGGGGCTGCAGAGGGAGGCACCGCGGCGTGTGGCTTCCCAGCGTGCCACAGGCTGGTCCCAGCAGCAGGCTGACCTGTGCTGCTGGCGCTCGCAGGCCTCTGGCTCGGCCAGCCTGAGCACGGCGGTGGTGCACAGGCGGCATCCGGAGCGCCAACCCCACCGGGGCGAGTGCTGCACCGCTTCGCGTCCCCGGGCTGGGAGGACGCGCGCCAGATGCCCTGCTCTCCCTCTGCCGTTGTCTGCGCCTCCTGTGTGCCAGTGGCATTCTGGAGTCCTGCGCAGGTGATTTGGGAGGCGGGTGGGGTGGGGCTGGGTATGCTAAGATACAGCTTAGCTGTATTTTAACCAGGAATTGTGGGGTGGGGGTTGGGGCATCTGGAAGAAAAAGTAGTCAAAATTCCCTTTATTGAAACGAACTGGAAGATTTAGAAAGGGTACCCTTTTTGTGTTCAAATCAAGCAACGTTGTGTTTCATTGGTCCTCAGTCCAGGCCATGTTCACTGTGAACAGTGGGGACTAGAATTTGGAAAAGGGGGGTGGGGGAGGGAAGTATTTTTGAACTGGTAATGGGCAAATGTCCAGCAGAGCTGTTTTTGGTTCACTGTTTGTTGGTGTACACAAGTATGTAATGAATGGCTTGACCGTACTGGGGCCAGAGGGAGGAGCGATGAATGGTAAAATCCTGACTTGCTTTTTAAGAGAAAATTAGCTCAATAAAAGCTCACTGGGACTTGAACCTGTTTGGTGCTTTTTTTGCTGTCTGGAGGGTGGTATGCTGGGGCTTCCGTGGCAGTTGGACTGAGCGTTGTGCCCGCGGGCGCCTCTGAGCAAGCAAGAGGGGCCCTTCCCCCCCCCCCCGACTCCCCAGTGTTGTGCCTCGTCCTGAGAGCCTCCCGCTGCTGCTGCTGCACTCCAGCTCGGTTCAGCTGGGAGACGTGGGCCTGCCTCTGCTTGGCAAGTTCGGGGTGGCGGCAGGTGGGCAGTGCTGCCTCCTTTCATGGCCCATCTACAGAGGAAGGACCCGCAGCCACCCTCCAAGGAGCAAGGAGGAAAGCGGCCAGGGGACGGGTGGGGACTGTTAAACCCCACGTGCAGGACCCTATCTGGGACACGGGAATCAGTGGAGCAAAGAGAGGACTTTGGTAGCTGCTGCTGAGTCAGCTGCTCGCAGGCAGGACTGGATCCCAGCCCTTCCCATGTCTGCCTGCCGCCTGTGAAGCGGCGTCCAAAGGCAGCTGCTGGCACTGCCCCCTCTGCCCGCCCCAGCACGGCCTTGGCCCTGTGGACTTGCATCGCTGCACTGCCATGGCAAGGGCGCCTCGGAGATGGCATTCGTTCCGCCGCTGCTCCACAGTCAGGATGCCTGCTCTAGCCTGCTGGGTCCTTCTGGCCCTCGGCCTGGCGTGGCCCAGGCAGACAGCAGGGGCGGCCAGGCTCCCTCCGCCCTGTGATAGGTGAGTTCAGTGGCTGGGCGATGAGATGAGGATGGGAAAGGCCATGCCCTACGGGACCCAGCAGCTGCGGTGGCCGCTGTTGAGCTAGTCACCGCTGTTGAGTGGCCAACCCGGGATTGTGCCCTGGCTCGGCCCTGAGGTCCGTGGGGAAGCTTGGCCTGGGGTGCTTCCCCCGCCCACCAAATAGGCCTAAGAGAAAAAGAGGCTGGTGCTGGCCAAGGTCTGCACTTGACACCCTTTGGAGGAGGGGGAGGATGAAGCCGAAGGGCCAACTCGGGCTTGAGGTGTATGTGTGAGGGAGGGAGAATGGGCCCGGCGGCTTCATGGTCTGAAGCGGAGGTCTCGGGTTTAACCTTTGCTCCCAACTGAGTGGGAGAAACAGCAACACTGGGCATGTCCCTCTACTTACTGTGCCCATTTCCTCAGCTCTGCACTCCGCAAGCTCTGGTGCCCTCGCCCAGGAGCAGAGGCGGCTGGTTGCATAACGGCCTGGCAGGCCTGAGGCTGAGTGGGGCAAGCCGCCTGCCACTGGCCAAACCTGGCGCATGGCCGCCTCTCTTGCCCAGACTGCTGCAGGCCTTCTCCCTAGCCTTGGCTCGCTCTCCCCGGTGCGCTCGCATTGATGCTGTGTTCCTCTGCCAAAGCCGGGCACCTCTCACCACTCGGGGCACACGGGCACGGCACAGAGGTCCTCCCTTGCCCACTCACGCTTACTGCCCCCCGCAACTATTGTGTGACACCCCTCCCCTCCCCAGCTTTCTGGAGAGACCCTCCACCCCGACCGTCACAGCCCTGCGCTCCCAATTCCCTGTTGCTTCTCTCATTGCGCATCTCAGGGCGCAGGTGGCCTGGGCAGTGTTCTTTGATAACCTGGAAAGTCAAATGTGCATCAATTGTGCAACACTTGTAAAAACTGGATGTGAAAAGGATCTGCAAGCCCATTTCCAAGTGACTGTCCCTCCTGCTCCAGAGCAAAGCTGCATGTCTGTGCAGCGGCAGGAGGGAAGCATTGCTTTGGAAGTTGCTGCAGAACTATGAGAAAGATGTGTGGGGTGAAATCTGGGCATGTGCAGGCCCAACTCTTCATAGGCTGCTTTGCTCTCATTCATTCATTCATTCATTCACATATTTATCTGCCACTGGTAACTGCCAGAATGACCTCCCTTGGCGGCTCAGGCAATGGAACAGCATAAAACAGTTAAAAGAATGAAATCGTAAACATACAATAGTAGGTGAATGGTGGTGTGTTTTGTGCACAAGCTTGTGCTGTCAGGCCTCGGGACGGTGTCTGGGAGCCCCCAGTCAAAGCACAGAGTGCGTCCACATCGCACGGTGCTGTATGGCATCAGAGGTGACCCTGTGGCCACATGAGTCTTGGCCAGGAGGATGGATAATCTCCCCATTTCACGGACAAGCAGAACGCAAGGATGGTGGCCCGCCCCAAATCTCTCCCTGGCGGCTGCAGTAAGCAGGGGTGACCCAATCCGGTTAGCTGCAGAATAGAAGGCCATTGCCACTGCTCGGAGGACCGGCTGGCGAGCCAGGGAGTAAGAGCACAAGAAACTGGGGAGAGGAGGTGGGTGGAGAGTGCAGAAAAGGGGCAAAGAAAGGGGGACTGCGAGTCCGCAGGGTGAGCTGCGGCGCTGGCTCTGTCCCGCCTCAGCTGGAAGAGAAGCTGCTGCTGGCCCAGCCGGGCAGCCCCAACCCCGCTCGGCTTGCTCATCTCCAGCCAGATCTACTGCACCGGGGAGCTCCTCCGGCAGGTCCAGCAGGCCCAGCTCTTCACGGATGACAAGCACTTCGTGGACATGCCACTCCGGGCCAAGCCGGGTGAGTGAACTGCAAGTGCACTGGCCCCGGCACGCTCCTTGGAGGAGCGCTCCAGCGGGGCTGCCCCCTTCCCTGGACCAGGCCTGCAGCAGGCTGGACCCTTCCGTGCCCATGGCCATGGGAACTGGCTGGCTCGCATCACGCTTGGCCAGCCCGGCACAGCCATGTCTTGGAAGATGCCTGCCCCATGAGACGCCAGCCGAGGCATGGGGGCGTGTGGGGGGGTGTCCAGGGAAAGCCCCCTTCTCGGGTCTGGCTGAGCCACAGCAGCAGCACTGACTGCTTGCTTGCACTGCGCGAAAAATGCCCCTGTGCAATGCCGAGAGCAGAGCCTCCTGCGGGAAGCCAGGCATCAGCCACACGGGCCCGGCCTGGCCTGGGCCAGCCTTTGCTCTGACCGCTTCCCCTTCTTGGCAGAGGAGGTCCTGGGGCAGTTCCAGCAGCTGGTGAACGCAACGCCTGGCGGGGGGGCCCTGTCAAGGCAGCAGCTGGCTGCGTTCGTGGAGGCCCACTTCTTCCCTCCGGGGCAGGAGCTGCAGGCTTGGGAGCCCCCAGATTGGACCAGCAGGTACGGCTTGCCTCCCGCCCTCGCCCCCTTCCCACTCGCAGGGGAGGCTAGGGCATGGCGGGGCACCTCCCGCCAGAAGGGGCCGTCCTCGCGCAGCCCGGAGAGTCGCCCGGGGCCCAAGCCCGGCAGTGGACGGGGCTTGCCGCCAGGGAGCAGGGAGCAGGGCCGGCGCCTGCGCCTGCGCCTGCGCAGCTCAGCTTGAGGCTCCTGCTCGCTCACCTCATGCCGATGCCTCACTCAGGGAGCCTTCCAGCGGAGACTGGCGCCTCTGGAGCTGCTTTTCAGCTTGTTGGGTTTGGGGAGGAGGTGTGGAGGGGCTTGCCAAGCAGTGGGTGGCTGAGGAAAGTGGGGTGGGCCAGGGACGGGGCAGCCCCGGAGAGGCAGAGCCTCCCCGGAGTGCCAACCCCGGCTGGGACGCTGGTGTGCCTGTGTGGGGGTAGTGCTGGAGCACAGTCTGGCAGCGGCTCTTGGGCAGAACGGGCGACAGGCCCCATGCAGCGGCCCTTACAGCCCCTCAGCAGTCCTGCAAACGGGAGGGCGCCTGTGCCAGCCCGGTGTGTCTGAGCGCTGCCGCCAAGCAGTGCGGCGCTGCTCCCTCAGCGGGGAGTGCCAGGCTCCCGGAAGAGCCGTGCCGGCTTAGGCAAGCCCCGGCCTCCAGAGGTGGCGAACTAGATCCCTCTGCAAAGCGCGTGAGGGCGCAGCACCCTCACACCCCTGTTCCCCGGCAGTGGTGTGCATGGCACACTCTCTATTTGTCGCATGTGTATGCTGCCCCATAGCCAGAGGATCTGCGCTATACGCACAGGCACACACGCGCCAATAACAAACAATCCATAAAACAACAGAGTTAAAATACAGTATAAATACAACGATCTAACTAGGAACAGGAGCAATGTAACAATGACAACCAATAAAACAATAAAACAATAAACCATCAGCAAACCAATAATCCAATCTAATAACAGATACTAAATAAAAAAACTCCTGGCGCAGCAAGCAAGATAAAGGGGGTGCCAGACGCACGTCCTCGGAAGAGCATTCCAGGGGTGAGGTGGGGTGACCGAGAAGGCCCTTTCCCTCGCCAGGTCCTCATGTAGGGGGTTCACAAAGGAGGGGCTCCATGGATGAGCGGAGTGGCCTGGTGGGGACACATGGAGACAGGCATTCCTTTTGAGACTCCCCAGAACTGGAGGTGGCATTTGGCCAGCGGGACCCCCTTCCACCCGGCATTTGGCCAGCGGGACCCTCCTCCCCACCGCCCTGGTTCTCCTGTGGCTGGTACTTGGGGACTTCCAGCCTGGCAGGGTGGGCTGCCTCCGTGGAAGCTGCTTCTGCGCTGCCCTTTTCTTAGGCGGTGGTGGCAGGAGAAGCCCCCTCCCCCCCCATTCTTTCCCTCGGACGCCAGAGGAAGCCTGCCCTGCTCGCGGAGGCCTTGCGGAGCGGCTGTGGTTATGCCGGCGTTTTATGAGCATCTAGATCTGCCTTCTTGTCTTTGCACTGTGGCTTTATTGATTGATTGCCTTTGCAAAAGCATTTGCTGCAAAGCAGCCGATGACGCATCCCGATGAGTGTTGCAGAGATCCCCCCCCCCCCCCCCCCCCCCCTTGCTGGCATGCCCCCACCCCGCCATTCCAAGGCCCGCCTGAACCTCGGGAAACGCTCCTTGCTGGTGCCCACAAGTGCACCCCCCGGAGGAACAGCGCCCCTTGCCCTGCTCAGCTCAAGGAGACGGAGGGACTGCTTAGCCCCCCTGCCCCCCCCCGCACTGATGCCCGTGGGCCTGCTGCTTTTCCAGCCCTCCTCTTCTCCAGAGGATCCTGGACGAGAAGCTGCGATTCTGGGCACAGGAGCTGATTTCCAAGTGGAAGCAGCTGGGCAGGCAGGTAATTCCTACATGGCACCAGGGTGGGGGGGTTCTCTGGCATGTCCCAGCAAAGGGGCACAGCCAGGCCGTGTTTGCCTTCCAGATCAAGCCAGACGTCCAAACCAACCCAGAGCGGCATTCCCTGATCTACGTGCCAAACCCGCTGATAGTTCCTGGAGGGCGGTTCCTGGAATACTACTACTGGTGAGAGGCTCTCCGAGCAGCCAGAGGCTCTGGCCTGCACAGCGGCATCTTCCAGGGAGCCCGCGGGCACTGTCTCTTGCCAGCCCACCCCCCCCGCTCAGGGGGAGGGGAGACTCAGTCTGTGACTTTCCCTCTAGGGATTCCTTCTGGATCATCGAGGGCCTGCTGCTCTCGGGCATGGCAGCCACCGCCGAGGGCATGATCCAGAACTTCCTCTTCCTGGTGGAGAAGTAAGAGTTCCCTGGGGAAGCGCAAGGGGGCTCCAGGGGAAGCGCAGGCGGAAGCCCGGCCTCCCGGAGGGAAGGGGTGTGTGGCTCGCGTTCCTGCCTGGGCCGGCACTGACTGGCCGTTCCATGGTGTCAGGCGCCCGGGCTGAGGCCGGAAGGCCTGGCCCAGCCGCAGAGGTGGGTGCTGCTAGCGAGGTCGGGGCCCGAAGCAAAGGGGCGCCAGGATCCCCAAACCAGGGAGGGCTGGATGCACACACGGTGCTGGTGAAGCCGGGAGCCGGGCCAGGACCAGACTGTGCAAGTGTGGCGAAGGAGATGGAGCATGGAGCGAAGGCTGAGCGGGCGGAGGCAGGGCTGCGCCACGGGATGGCTGGGCCTGAGCCCATGGCGCACAGGCTGGCGTGCCTTGCGGGGCAAACATGCCGCTCGCCACCCGGGGATGTGCAAGGCCTCAGGTCCTGGTGGAACGGCCAGGATATGGGCTGTGCCACATGCTCACCGGGCCAGTGTTTCTCCTCCATGACAGGTTTGGACACATCCCGAATGGGGGCCGCGTCTACTACGAGCGCCGGAGCCAGCCGCCCTTCCTCACCCTGATGATGGAGAGCTACTTGAAACACACAAACAGTACCAGTTTCCTGAGGTGGGCCCCAATTCTCCCTTTGCACCGCCAAAGCAAAAAGCTGTGCCCGAACTCTGGTGGGCCAAGGCCTGCATGGATGCGGGGACACATCTGCATCTTGTGCCTTGTGGGCACTCTCACTAAATGGCTGCCTGGTGGGCATGGCCAGACCCACACCAGGCATTTCGTGGGAACCGAGTGGGTGAAACTGGAAGGAAGCAGCCTGGCCGACTCCTGAATTCCAAGCCTCTCCCTGGAACCCAGGAGAGGCGCCAGCGTTGCCCGTGGACGTCACGCTGGGGAGCCCGGGGGGAGAGGCTCGTTCATCCTCCTGGAAGGGAGACGGGAGGTGCGCCTCCTGCTGAATTAGCAGCAGGAGCGCCCAAAAGGCACCGCCATGGCCCAGCCGGCGTGGCGCTCTCATCTGCGGCAGTGCCACAGCCATGAGCCACGGGGAGGCCCCGGGTCGGTGTTTGGGGCTGGGCTCAACCATGGCTTCCAACTCCTGCTTCTCCAGGAGAAACATCCACCTGCTGGAGGCCGAGTACCGCTTCTGGCAGCAGCAGCGGGCAGTGAACATCTCCACTGGGGGCCAGCAGTACCAGCTGAACCGCTACCGTGTCCAGGTGGGGGGGCCCAGGTGAGGGGCGAAGGTGCCGGAGAGCGGGGAGCAGGGGGTCCTCCAGGCGTGTGCTCACCAGCCCCGCCCTCTCTTGCCCCCTCCTTGCCCCCCAGGCCAGAGTCGTACATGAAGGATGTGCAGCTGGCGAGCGGCCTGGATGCTGGTGAGGACCTCCCCCCCCCCCCCCCCGAGGCTCCTGTGAGCAGTGCAGCAGCCCTGGCGGCCGGAGACCCAGCAGGGCTCACCGGGTCCTGCCTGTGACTGGGGCCCGGACCTCGCCGCTGGGCTCGGCCGGGGAGCAGGCACTCCGTCCTCCAGCCGGGCGTGTGGTGACCGGAGACTCCCCGTGCGCAGCTCCCCTTGGCCATGCCCAGGCCTGGGGTGCAGTGTTTGACGTGTGGACCCAGACGCCCCGAATCCAGGCTCCGGGGTGATGCCGAAGGCAGGCAAGGGTCTTTGCGCCTGCTTCCCCCACACTTCCTCCCTAACCCTACCCCGCACCCCGGTCCCTTTCCCTGCAGAAGCACAGCAGTCGCTCTGGGCGGAACTGAAGACTGCGGCGGAATCCGGCTGGGATTTCTCTTCCCGCTGGTTCCTGCCGGGGCCACGCTCCACCCAGGCCACGCTGAGAGACACCAAAGCCAGCGAGGTGGTGCCCGTGGACCTGAACGCCATCCTGTGCAGAGTTGAGCGGCTCCTCGCCACCTTCTACAGGGAGCTGGGTGAGGCGCCTGGGCAAGTGGGTGGCAGGCGAGGGACCGGCGGCCTGCGCCGGAGCTCTGGCAGGGTGGTCTGGGGGCTGGGCACCCTGGCGAGGGCCTCCCTGTGCCAAGGGTGCAGCCACCTGCAGGCAGCCTCGCAAGCGGGGAAGGTCACCGCTGGAGGGCCGAGAGGGCCCAGTCTGCCGGCTTGTGCAGTGGGGCCCACAGGGTGAGGGGCCGTGACACCCGCAGCCACTGTCCCTCCTCTCCAGGGAACAGCCAGAAGGCCGACTCCTTCCAGGCAGCTCACGAGCAGCGGGTGGCTGCCATCCGGGCCGTCCTTTGGGACGACCAGGCCGGAAGCTGGTTTGACTATGACCTGCTGCAGCAGAGGAAGAGCACGGCCTTCTACCCGTCCAACGTAGCCCCTCTCTGGGCCGAGTGTGGCGTGGACGCTGCTGTGGTAGAAAAGGCCCTTGGCTACCTGCAGGTGCGTGGGCACCAGCCCGGCAGGGCAGGAGGCGGCTGAGGAGCTGAGGCGCAGCCGGGGAGGCGTGGGGGTCGAGTCCGTCGGCGTTCAAGCCAGCGTTCAGGCTGCTGCCAGGGCGAGAGAGGGAGAGGCAGGAGCCTCCGACCTGGGCAGGCTCCTGGGTGCCTGGCAGCCTGGGGAAGCCACCGGTCTGAGCAAGCCCTGGCCGGAGGACTCGGTTGTGGGCTGGCGAGGTGAGTGGTGTCCGGAGGGCTCGCGAGTGCCCCAGCCAGTGGCCTCTGCCGAGAAGAGACCCTGGTGGAACCGTGAGCCAGTGCCGGGGGTGCTTTTGGAAAAAAGCAGGACGGTGCCTTGCCCGGGGGCACAGCCAGTGAAGCAGGGGCTCGGGCACATCAACCTCCCAGGTCAAGTGAGGGCTGCAGACCTGGGAAACAGGCTGGGGGACCCCCCCCCACCCCACCACTGGCATAGCCTGGAGAAGCCCCAGAGCTGTCCAGAAGGCACTGCGGCTGCGAGGCTCCAAGCAAGCCGAGTGAGCCAGGGCTGCCGGGCTCAGCCCCTTGGTGCCATGGCTGCCGCCAGCCCTCCTTGTGAGTAGCCCCTGGCAGCAGGCAAGGGTACATCTCGCCAGGGACCTGAAGCCATGGGGCTTCCTGGGGCCGTGAGCAGCACCCCGTCCCGTGGGGGCAGTCGGAAGCCTCGCCGCTAGGGCCTGGGGCTGCCGTGGGCTGCACCGGGGGCTCCGAGGGCCCACGGGCTCTGGAGGGCCTGGCCTCTCGCCAGGAGACAACTCCGGGGTGCTATGGTGCCTGGGACTGTGGCTGTGTGTCCGCAGGGGAGCTCCGCACTGTCCTACGCCAACGGACTGCCCGCCTCCTTGGCTCGCACGGGCCAGCAGTGGGACCTGCCCAACGCCTGGGCCCCACTCCAGCACATGGTGATCGAGGGTAAGGATCCGTCTTGCGGCAGAGGGCGGTGCCAGCTGGCCTTCCTCGGAGGGAGGGGGCTCTGGGGCAAGGGCATTCCCAGAGTGCCCCTGGGGAGCCAAGCCAGGGGAACCTGGGCTGGTCCCAGCACAGCCCCGCGTGGCCCCCGCCTTGCCTGCTCTGGCCCAGCAGCAGGCCGGCGGGTGAGCGCACTTTCTGCCCGCCAGGTCTGGCCAAGTCCTCCCTGCCCCAGGCACAAGAACTGGCCTTCACCTTGGCCCAGCGCTGGGTGCGGATGAACCTGGCCGTCTACGAGAGGCACCACGCCATGTTTGAGAAGGTACCTAGCCGGTCTGGTGGGGAAGCCCCGCTTCGCTGCTTGCACGGGGGCAGCCGGGCCTTCTGGCTTGCAGCCTCTACTGGGCCGGGGCAGGCAGAGGATCAGGCAGCCTCTCCCACTCCGCTTGCTCTTCTCTTTCCCAGTACGTGGTTGAAGGCGACGGGGAGCCGGGCACCGGTGGGGAGTATCCCGTCCAGGTAGGGCAGCTTTCCCCACCCCCCCCGGGACAGGAGTGGGAAGTGGCTCAGGTGTGGCGATGGGGCCTGTCCGCCTGTCTCCCTTGCAGGTGGGGTTCGGCTGGACCAACGGAGTGGTCCTGCAGCTGCTGGATCGCTATGGCAGCCGGCTCACCTCCACAGGTGCTCTGGTGACTCCGATGCTGCCCTGGATCGGGACCTGCCTGGCCCTGGCCCTGCTGTAGCCACTGCCTTCCGGCCCAGCCTGACTCTGGATTGCAGGGAGGCAGGCGGCCACTGGCTGGCATCCGCCCTTCCCGTGGGGCCGAGGCAGCACAGGAGCCTTCCAGCCATGGCCGAGGGCTTCCGCCTGGGCAGTGTGGCGAGCATGGCCAGCTGCCTCCCTGGCGTGCCAGGCGTGGGAACGAAAGGAGCACCCGGTTGCGGATCCTTCTCTGGTTCTGGCGGGTTCCTCTGGGCCGGTCTGCCTAGAGCAGAGTGCGCCGAGGCAAGGCAGGTGGAGGGACGGGGAGACCTCAGGACTGCACCACAGGAAGGCAAGGATGCAACTCCGGGGCTTTCTGACTCAGAAGAAGGCACGTGACTGGCGGGGGCAGCAGAGGTCATGCATGCTGCCAAGAGTTAACTTGTCCCTCCAAAGAAGGGCCAGCTAGGTGGACGGTGGCTCTCAGCAGCGGCAATACCGGCTGGGGCTGATGGGATGCAAAATCAGAAGCATCTGGGGGCACTGAGCTGGGCAGGCTGCTGTGACTTGACTCTTGTGTCCGTGCACTTTGTTGGCAAATAAACCACGCCAGACCAAGCACTCCTCGTGATAATCGCATGCACAGGACGCAGCAGCACTGCCGGCCACGGTGTGCATCCTGACACCACGAAAGCCCCGGCAGGGGCTCCTCTCCGCCCGGATGTGAGGGCGGCTGCACAGGAGCCGCCGATTCACAGCAACGGCCTGGAAATGGTTTGCATCAACCGGGGGGTGGGGGTCCTTGGGGCATCCAGTGCATTTTCAGAATATTTGGATGAGTTTTTTGAGGGTCTGTGCAGCAATTTTGTAGATGACACCGAGTGGCTGAATAGCGAGCGCACTGAAGACCGAACCAGGGCTCAGAAGCGCCTGGGGTGGCTGCGGCAGTGGCCTGAAACACTCTGTATAAATTTGACAGGAACAAGCGTAAAACGCCAAAAGCTCACAGCAGAGCAGGAGATGGTGCAGAGTTAGGGGAAAGGCCAGTGTGTTTTTGAGGCTGGGAGGCGCGCAAGCGGCGCCTGCAGAGGCCACCTCAGACGGCCCCCGAGAAGCGGAGCGCCCAGATCATCGGAAGCCAAGGGGCTGCTCTGCCCTGCCCTAGGCATCCCATTTCACAGGTGGTGAGAAAGGGGGGCACCCCCAGGGAAGAGTGAGCAAGATGACCAGGGTCTGGAAAAGACGGAGCGCTCAAAAGGGCCGGGAGCATTCAGCTGAAGGGAGGGGGGGAGAAGAAACCCTCTGGGCAGGTTTGGGAAAAGGCTTTATTGCTCTCCGCCAGCCAGGCTCCCGCCCCTCCAAGCACCGGGCCACTGCGACTGCCGGGCTCGCAGGAGCCGATCTTTGGCGTGGCACTTCTCAGAAGGCAGAGGACACCATTGCGCCGTGGGGCTGGGGCCAGAGCGTGTGTGGGCTGCAAGGCGAGCAGCGGGGCAGCTGCCGGCCTGAGCAGACAGTGGGGCCCCGGCTGGAGTCCCTCCAAGGCACGTGGTGGTGTGGGGCACCATCTGGGCATCTCCGCCCTCCTCTGCCCCACGCTGGGGTGGCGTGGGCAGGATGCAGAGGGCACTTGGGGCTGTCCGCTCCAGGGGAGGGCCATCTTTGGCATCGCTGATTTGGGGGGGGAGGTCAGGAGCGCAGAGGCCGGCCGCCCCCTTCCGGCTGGCTCTCCGGCAGTGGGGCAGGCCACCTCCCGGCTGCCCAGGCTCAGCTCAGGAACTGGGTGTAGCCCTCGGCGCCCGTGACGATGACGTCCATCCAGATCCGCATGGCCTCGGCCGAGGGGGCCACCATGTAGTAGAGCCGGTCGTGGGTCTTGACGCAGAAGGTGAGAGCCGGGTTGGGACTCTGCCGAGAGAAGGACCAGCTGGCTCCGGGCGCCTGGCAGCACGCCCACCGGCCCCCAGGCACCGCTTTCCCCACACCGAGTGGGTCGACCTCCGGCCTGGGAGGGCACGGGCAAGCAGGACGCCGCCGCAGCAGCAAGCAGGAGGGGCCCTCGCAGGACGAACGTCCCTCCCCGCACAGAAGAGCCCCCAAGCCTCTCCCCAGCAAGAGCTTCGGGGCGACCTCTCCACCGAGGGCGGCAGGAATGACCGAGAGCCGGCAGAGGGAACGGAGCTGCAGGACCACAGGGTGGCCTGCGGGGCAGCGCAGGGCAGGTTATGGCTGCTGGGACCGGCAGTCTGGGGCAGAGCCATGCCAAGCCCCAAAGGAGGGGCCCTGGACGGCCGCCATCCCGGGCTCACTGTTCACTGCCTGGCTGCAGCCGGCACCAAGACGCACCCCCCCCCCCCCGGCAGCCCTGGCCCACTGTGGGGGCTGCTTCCATGGGAATGGGGGCTACGCTTCCGTGCGAAGTGCCGCAGGCGGCCGAATTCAGGCCCCGGTGCCACATGGGCTGAGCGCACGCAGGAGCATGCTCCACGCAGGCAGGCCAGGTTAGTGGAGGGAGTCAGAGCAAGCCGGGGTTACTGCCGTCGGGGGGCACGCCTAGAAACTGGAGGGTACCTACAGCGGCCAGACGGAGAGAGAAGAATCTTTTCTGCAGGAGGAGGAGCAGGAGGAGAGAGGCAGAGAAGCAGGTGAGGGGCGGGGGCCCGGGGCCGGCCTGTCCCGGGAGGCTGCCCCTCTCCCTCGGGCTTACCTTGGCTGCGCTCCGGAGGTGGTCGTAATACACCTCCTCGATGGCCTGGAAGTAGAGGAGGCCCTTCAGCTTCGTCTCGTGCTTGTCTGCGGGAGGAAAGGGGTCAGGCCGGGCTGGCCGGGCACCCGCGGCGTGGGGCTGCAGGGGAGGCCGGGGCGGGCCCACTGGTGCCACCCTGGGCCAGAGCCACGCGGGGGGCTTACCCACGTAGTAGGACAGCGTTCGCCGCATGCGGTCAAAGACGAACCAGCGCTTCCTCCAGGACTTGATCTTGCCCCCCATCTTGACCAGGTAGCCCCTGCAGGTCTTCTCGGAGAGGACGACGTGGCTGCAGGTGTCCACGCTGTGGCCCGAGGACTCGATGTGCACGCGCAGGTCGAAGTCCTCTTTGCGGATGGGCAGGTAGCGCGTCAGGGGCCGGGCCTGTGGGGCAGAGCAGCAGCACTCCTAGGACACGTGCCGGAGGCGCCCTCCGCCACGGGAAGCCCAAGGGCACCGCGCCAGGGCCCCCGTACCCACCAAGCGGGGCTGTGAAGGGGCCACCAGCCCGAACTTGGCGTCACGCGCGCCGGGCAAGCGCCGTCCCTGGACACGTCCGCCTTCGCATCACGCAAGACTGCTGGTGCAGGAGGCGGTGGCTTCCTCCCGACAGGGGGGCCCCTGGCCACGGGCAAGTCCAGCTGGACGCAGCCCCCCCCCACCCCAAGCCTGAACGCGCGACTCGCCGGCCTTGGAAGGCCGCAGGGTGCCGGCACTGCTTGTAGCAGCTGCGGCGGCAGCACCCTGACCCTGAGCCCACCTCCCGCGGGGCAGGTGCCCCCCCCACCTGGGCAAACTGCTTCTCCCGCAGCTTGACCTCCTTCTCCACGAGCTTCTGCCGCCGCGCCGTCTCGTCCTGCAGCCGCTGCTCCAGCTGCTCTCGCCGCCGCCGCTCGTCCTCCAGGGCCTGGCGCCGCGCTTCCAGCTCCTGCTCCTGCCAGGAAGGCGCTGGTTGGCCCATGCCCGGCATGGCCCACCGCCGGCCGGAGAGCTGGCCCAGACCCCAGCAGGGCACCCCCCCTCCCCGCGGTGACAACAACGTGCTCCAAGACACCAAGGGGAAAGGCTTCCCATGGGGTGAGGCAGCGGCCCCTCGGGAGAGCGCCCGCCCGGCCACAGCAAAGCAAGGGCCACCCGGGCACCGCTCAATGGCCAGGCAGCCAGCCAGAGCACCTCAAGGGCGGGCTGAGCCCAGGCGGCAGCGTGACTGCCAGTGTGGGAGGGGGCCGGCGGGGGGCGGTGTGGGGGGCCCTTGGTGCCGCTCACTCGCGATTCCATCAGCCGCGATCTCTCCGCGTGGGCCTCCTTCAGCATCTTCTCCATCTCCTCCATCTTCCCGGCCTCAGTCCCACTGGCGCTGCAGGGCAGATCGGCCGTCAGGGCTTCTGCTGCCACTGGCCAGGCCCAGCTGCCCCCCCCCCACACCCAGCCACAGCAGGGGGCAGCAGCATCCCCCATGGCTCTCTGCCCCACAGCTTCCCTGACCAGGCAGAGGCGGCGCCTGGACCTGTGCGAGCGAGCCCTGGGAGGGGGAGGAAAGGGTGGACGCCAGGGATGGATGGGAGGGGCGGCAGCACACGCCCCGCGGAAGGCGAAGGGCGGCAGCGGGTGCCCTCCCTCCCTCCCGCATCCCAGAGCCTGGGGGTCCCCTGGTGGGCAGCCTGGAGAGGGGGGCGCTGGCGGGCCAAGGGCTAGAGCACTCGGGGGCCGCGGGAGGCGCTGGCAGCCGGTACCTGGACCCGTTGTCCGGGGAGCAGGCGGAGTGGCTGGTCTCCAGGCTGTCCGAGCTCTCCAGGCTGAGGGTGTCGTAGGCCTGCTCTGGCTCGTCAGGATGCGGGCCCAGCCCCCGCGGGGGGAAATGATGGAGGATGGAGTGGTGCAGGAGGGGGGAGCAGGAGGGGGGGAAGGGGGGCGGCCCCCCGTGCAGGGCCTCCCACTGCGACTGTGCCTCGGCCGCCGCCTTCTGCTTGAGGTCGGCCAGGCGCCTCCGCTGGTCCTCGATCACCTGCTGCCCTGCGGAGATGCCGGACAGAGCGGGCTCAGCCCAGCCCAGCCCAGCCCCCCGGGGCACCCCCGGCCAGGGGGGCTGGACTCCCACCCACCCCGCCCCACCACACGGAGCTCTCCGTGTCCGGCACCCACCCTGTTGCTGCAGGGCCCGCTGGCGCCTGGTCTCGATGTCGCGGAGGGTGCAGGCCAGGTTCCGCGGCAGCTGCGGGCGCTGCGGGAGACACGCGGGGTGAGCCGGAGCTCTGGAGGGCGGCATCATTGCCCGGGCCGGGCCGAGCCGGGCCGAGCCGGGCCGAGCACGTGGGGCCAGGGCTGGGCTTGAGGCTCCCGGCGGAGGGCGGCCCGCGAGGTTCCGGACCCGGACGGCCCACCCGTGCGGGCCGCCCACCCAGCACTGCCCAGCATACCTGGGGTGAGGGGCTGCGGTGGCCAGGAGCAGAGGCTGTGCCATGGGCATGGGGAGCGCTGCCCTCCGTGGGCCAGGCGGGGTTGCCAGACCTGCTGCCTGTCTTGGAGCGATAGACCTGGGGGCACGAGAGGCACGTGGCTCGAGTCAGGCGGAGCTGCTCTCGCCCAGCGGGCCCAGAGCCCCTGCCCTAGAAGGGGGATGCCGGCCGGGCACGGTGTGGCAAGCACGTGCAGTGGAGCTCTCTGCATTCCCCTCCAACGAAGCGGGGAGCGCCGGCTGGGTTGCCTGGGGGGCCTGCGGGGGCCCTTGGGCAAGCTCGGCGCACGCCCCCCGCTGGAAAGGGCAGCACCCACCTCTTCCCCTTGCGCCTCTTCCTACCCCACACCTCAGCGCATGTGATGGGGGCAGGGACTGCGAGGGGCACGCAGTCGGCCATGGCTGGGAGGGCAAGTGGCTCCGACAGCTGAGCCTGGCAGAGGCAGTCGGGGGGGGGGGGGGGCAGGCCTGCAGCCGCCTCCCTGCTGTGGGTTGCAGCCGGCTGGCCCACACTGCGCGAGAGGCAAGGCAAGGTGGAGGAGAGTGGCTGCAGGCAAGGCTGTGGGTGGAGAGGAAGCAGGCAGGCGGGCAGGATGCAGGCAGGTGTGGGGAAACACGGTGCCCGACCCCAGGACAACCACCTCCAGTGCTGGGCATGGCTGGGGGAATGGCTCCCCGGGGCCCGCGAGCCGGATCTGTCCCTCTTGGGGAAGCACCCTGCCCCACACAAGGAGGTCAGGTCCCTGTCCGCTGCCCTGTCAGGCTGGGAAGGGCGGGGGTACCTCATCAGCAGGCGGAGGTTTGGGGCCAGCAGGGGGGGGGCCAGCCTCCGGGCCCCAGCTGGGCAGCCTGCATGCAGCGAAGGGCCTCAGGGACTCCTAGAAGCAGCGGAGAGGCGGGAGAGGCAGGTCAGGCTTGGCAAATGGCAGGGAGGCCCTCCGCTGTGGCCCCCGGGGGGCAGGAATTCAGCCGGAGTGCCTGAACATGCAGAAGAGACCCGAGAGGCCGGCGGAGGATGCGGGAGGCCTGGCTGGCAGCGGCCCCAGGTGCCTCGGAGGAGCGGAACCGGCCGCGAGCCGGCCGTGTGCTGCAGCAGCGAGAAGGCCGCACAACCCGAGGCTGCGCCACCAAAAGCCGGAGTGCCTGATCGCAAGAAACCCTCATCCCAGCCTGCACCGCATGTGGCGTCCCCAGGCGGGAACATCGGAGCCAGGGCCCATTCTGGAGGGCACATCTGCAGGGGACGCACACTGACAGCTGCGCTGGCCGTGCGGCTTGGCCAGATCACCTCCGGCCACCATCTGGCTTGGTCATTCCAAGACTGACCGACTGGATTGCATGGTGGGGGCGGCAGCGTCTGTCTTTGGTCCCCCGCTTGTTCTTGTGCCTGACTTTGTGAACGCTCACAAAGAGCTACCGTAAATTCTGGGCCGGCTGCTTCGAGACACGCTAAGGGGTCACACTAAGCCTGGGCGGGAAGGGGCTGAAGCCACTGCTGGGAGGCTCCCGGGGCAGCAGGGGGCTCTCCACTGCCCCGACCACGGCAATCTGTGCACAGTCCTTGGGATGAAGTGGGGCATAAACCAAATCAACGACCTCTAGGGAACGACTGGTCTTCCTGCACACCTGTGGTCCCCCAAGCTCAGCTCGGCTCCAGGCTGAGCGCATTACCTCTCGAAGGGCTGCAGAAGATGTGGGGAAGCCGGAGCCCCCTGTGAGCGCACGGTAGCGCCTCTCCAGCGCGAGGAGATTCTCCTTCTCCTGCACGGGAAAATGAAGGGCACAGTCCTGGAGAGGTGCACTGCACCCTGGCGCATGCGCACGCAGTCTCCCCCCCTCTCTTGGGGGTGGAGCAGCCTTGGAGGCCCGCTGCACCGGAGGCCCTCTGCACCGAAGGCCCGTGGCCAGAGCCAATGGACCACCCGAGCGAGCCGCCACCCCCCTCCCCTGCCCCCGGTCCCGGCTCTGCTTCCCGGACTCAGCCGCCAGCCATCACCTTCTGCAGCAGCTGCAGCGTGGCGCTCTTCTCCTTCCCCAGCCGGTCGACCTCCTGGGCTGCCTGCAGCCGGATCTGGTGGGCCTGGCTTTCCAGGGCAGCCATGCGCTCCTGCATGGGGAGACCGCGTGGATGCTGAGCGGGCGCCCCAAGGCCAGCCTGCCCGCCCCAGAGCCCTTCATGTGGCCGGCCCCGGCCCCCCGGCCCCGCCAGCTCACCTTCCTCCGGGCCGCGCTGCAGTGGCTCTCGGCTTTGCTGAGCAGCAGCTGCTGGCTGAGGGCCTCGCGCTCCTCTTCCAGGCGGCTCTCCTTCTCCAGCTGCTGGAACTCCAGGTCCTCGAAGAGCTTGGCCTCCGTCTCCAGCGCCTCGGCCTCCTGCGGGCGAGTTGGCCGCTTGGTCGGGCGAGAAAGGGGGCTGGCCAGCTGGCTGGGGAGACGCCTGGAGCAAGGCGGCCAGACCCTCCTGCAGCCACGCTGGTCCCCACAGGCAGCTGCCGGTGCTCCCCGGTGAACCCGGCGAGCAGAACCAGGGTGCAAAGCCGCAGTGCTTTTCCCCACAGGGGCTGTGGCTGGGAGGTACTCTGCACGGGGATGCAAGACCCCCACGCAGCTCCTGAGTGGGGGGATGCCCAGCCAGAGGGGGAGGCAGTCCCGAGGGAACTGAGGAGGTGCTGCGGGGAGCGGCCTTGCCACCGCCACTGCCAGGCCCAACGGAGCTGGAGCCCCCCCGAGGGCACCGGCGGCTGGCGCAGGGGTGTGCGGGAGAGCTGGCCCTGCCGAGCGGCCGCCCCGGCCCCGCCTGCCATCCTCGCCAGGGGCCGGCGGCTCGCCTGCCTGCCTGCCTGGGCGGGAGGCAGGGGGGACACTGACCCTGTGCACCTGCTCCTGCACCTGCTCCCTCAGGGACTCGGGGCAGTTATCGAGCTGGCTCCGGAGCTCAGCATCAAGCGCCCGCAGCCTCTTGAGCGCCTTCCTTTCCGCATCAACCTTTGCCCTCTCCTGGATCCGGGAGAAAACACACAAGAGGGTAGAGGAGAGGGGAGGAGAGGAGAGGGGAGGGGAGAAGGCATGTGCCTCTCCAGGGCAGGCCATGCAAAGCAGGGGGTTAGTGGGGCACCGGGGCAAGCAGGTTAGGGGGCGCTTCTGGGGCTGCTGCCTGGGTTCTGGAAGCCCCAGTGCCGGTGGGGCCGCCTGCCCACCCCCCACCCCCAGCCAGCCCAGCGGCCTCTGCTGCAGCTGGTTGGGAGTGGCCCGGTCTCGGGTTCTGGGCAGCCCCAGGCGTGCGGGGGAACCGGGCGGGCAGAGGCCAGGCCGGGCCAGGCCCCGCGTGGGCCTGCGGGTGCTTCCGGACCCACGGCCAGGAGAGTGCCAGGTCGGTCCCAGGGCCTCCTCAGGACTCTCCGCCAACATTCTGCCTTTGGAAGGAGCCGCTCCCTTGCGCTCGGGACCGCAGGGGGAAGCGTCATGCCGGCCAGCCGGCTTTTGGACTCCTCCGCATGATGGCCCAACCAGCATCAGGGAGGCGAGAGCAAGCAGAGAAGGATGAATTATGCAAGACTGGCATGAAATCCATGGAATTGCAAAACGGGAGGTGTAAATTGTGGCCAGCGCCTCAAAGGAGCCCCATTCCTAACCCCGTCCCACTGCCCCCTTGCCTGTGGGGAGCAGAGGCCGGCTGGCCACACAGCTTGTCCAGTCCTCACCCCCCAAGGAAGGAGACCCCACCCCGCTGCAGGCCGTGTGCCGTGGGGCAAAAGCAGGCTGCGTTCCACCCGGCGGCTGCCCTGAGCGGGCACTGCCATGCCCTGCGAAGGCTGGCCCGAAGCTGCCCAGCGCAGCCCAGGTGCCCAGGGCAAGCTGCCTCTCCCATCTGCACACAGCCCTGACACAGGGGGCTTCAAGACGCCCGGACCCCAGGCCTCACGGCTCCCAGCGCCAGCAGAGGGGCCGAGGCGACTGCTGGCGCCCACCCCGGCCGGCAGCCTCCGGGGAGCAGGACCCCTGCAGGAGGGAAGCCTGGGCACCCGCCAGGCTCCGCTTTCCCCCTGGGCAGGGACGGCCTCGGCCCCTCTGGCGGCCCCGGGGCGGAGGCGGGCGGGCAGGAGGCAGGCACTGCGTGGGGGCACAGAAAGGGCAGCGAGAGGCGAGGCGGTTAGAGCCGGTCGGTGCTGCAGGCAGTTAGTGTCCAGGCAGGCAGGCTGTGTGCTTCCTTTGGGCTCGGTGTGAGCAAAGGTTTGAGAAAGGCTCGGCGACGACGGCCCCACGCCGCCGCACGGCGGCTGGCTGCCGAGAGCAGGAGCGCAGCAGGCGGGATCAGGGCCGGCCCCCCGAGCCCCACGGCCGGGCCGGGGCTGGTGCCCAGAGGCCCCTGAGCCACTCCGGGGCAGCCCCAGGCCGGCCGGGAGCCGGCGGAGGCCAGGGCCTCCTGCTGCGGCGGGGCACCCAGAGGAGCCGCCTTGCGGTCTGGCAGAGCGGCCTCCGGCGCGCCCCCTGCAACCCGCCTCGCCGGGGCGCGGGAGGCCGGCCGCCACCTACCTGGTCCCGGTCCCGGCGGATGGCGGCGTCGAGGGCGGAGAGGCGCTCCTGCAGGTGCTGCACCACCCGCTGCTCCTGCTGCAGCTGGCCCAGCTCGGCCTCGCGCTCGCCCTGCAGGAGGGCCCGCTCCATCTCCGCCTGGCCAGGCAGAAAGCAGCCGCGTCACGAGGGGCCAAGCCCGGGAGCAGCGGCCCCCTTGCCACCCCGCCGAGGGGACCCTGCGCAAGGCGGCCGTACGGCCGGGGCCAGGGTGAGGGCCCCCTGCCCGGCCCGGCCCTTCTCCACGGACAGGTCCCGCCCCGGTGCCGGCGCCCGCCCCTCACCTCCCGGGCCGTCTCCCGCAGCTGCTGCTCCAGGTCCTTGGCGCGGCTCTTCAGCTGGTCGATGCGGGCCAGCGAGCTGGTCCGGGCCTCCTCCAGGCGGGCCGCCTCCTGCCGGGCTTTGCTGCCGTGTGGCTCCTCATGCTGTGGAGAGGTTAGCCGTCTGCACAGCGGGCACCCCCTTCCGCGCTCCGCCACTGCCCCTGTGCAGCTTGCTCCCCATCGCCCCACGAGGGGCCTGCTGGCCCCAGCAAGAAGGTGGAGGAGAGCCTGTGGCCACCACAGCCCCCTCCTTGCGCCCCGAGGAAGACCCACGGGCTGTGGCCACCCCCACAAGGGCCCGCTGGGTACTGGGGTGCACTGCGCAGGGCTACAGGGACCCCCGCCCGGCCCCACCAGCCCAAGCTCGGCACCCAGCGCCACTCGCCTCGTGGCCGGCGCTCTCCGTGCTGCTGCTCTCCTCCTTCAGACTCTCCTCCTCCGAGCGCTCCCGGCCCGCTGGCTCCCCCGGCCCCGGGGTGCCCGCTGGCTGCTCTGCGGCCGAGCCCCTGGAGGGCCTCCTCCCAGCTGGGGGGGCCGCCAGCTCTGCCAGGCCGGGGAAGGTGCCCTCGCCCCAGCCCACCTCGCCATCACCGTGTGTGTACTCGGCACACAGGCTCAGGATGGTCTCCAGACGCTGCCGCTCCTGCGGGGCGAGAGGGGCGAGGGCGTCACCCGGCACGCCAAGGCCCTGGCGGCACGAGCGCCTGGCCAGGAGCCCCTCCCTAGCCGCCTGGAGCTCCCCCGCACCCGCGGATCCCCACGGGGCCTGTTGACAGACGGAACCAGCGCACAGCATTGAGCTAGCGGGAGAGCAAAGGAAACAAATGCGGGTGAACGGACCTCCAAAGCAAAGCCTGCGCAGCCCGCTTCCCGCGGGAGAGTGCCCAGGCGCCTGTGGCGAGCCCCCGCCAAGGGTGGCAGCGCGGAGCTGCGGCAGGGGAGGGCGGGGGCAGGCCCACCGCTGCTCCTGCCCCGGGTGCCAGCACTCAAAGGGCCCCTCTGCGGCGCTGATGTCCGCCTGGGGACCCTTTCCGGCGCAAGAGCAGCACAAGAGTGCAGTATGTGGAAGCGGCAAACGGCTGCATCTCATGGCCACCGGGCGCAACGGCCACCGCTGGCCGAGGAGATGCCACCGGACCAGGCAGCGCGCGAGTCAGAAACGACGAAGAAACGAGACACCCCTGCTATGGGGCAGCAAACCATGGAGAGCTGCTGCTTGGTGACCAACTACCCAGAAGTCGGAAGGACTTGTTCCTGGACTTCCGGGGCACCGGAAAGCATGTGCCCAACCCAGGAGGAATGCGCTCGTGCCACCTTGCAAAGCAAAAGGCTTTTGCTAAAAGGTGTACAATAGTAATCTGGCACAAAGACATCCACAAACACAGCACAGCTTTTTAACCTCCATCTAAAAAGAGGTTCAACAGCCACCAAATGTTACAAGCCCACCCTGACCGAGAAGATCCTCAGAGCCTGCCTAAAAATATGGGGTGGGGAGGCTTGGCAGCCCTCTCCCCAACGGCAGCCCAGCCCAGCCCAGCCCCGAAGGAGCCTCTCGAGGGAGCCTCTCGCGAGCAGCCGAGGGACGGAGCTGCCGGCCAGGCCAGTCGCCACTTGAGGCCCGGGAGGGAGGCGCTGCAGCGCGCATGCGGGGGGGGAGCGGCAGGGGCTGGCAGGGCCGCTCTGGCCCACAGGAAGCCCACCGCCCCCACAGGTCCTTCGGCTCCCGCAGAGGCCAGGGCAGGGTGGGGGCGGTGGGGAGGCAGAACAAAACCACAGCTCGGGAAGTGCGCCGGGACCTTCCGGCCCTCCGGAGCAGCCTCGCCGCTGCCCTGCCTTGCCCGCGGGAGCATGGGCACCCCTCCCTCCAACGCAAGCCCTGACGGAGCCCTCCTTCCGGGGCCCCCACCACGAAGGTGGGATGGGGGTGGAAAGGGGCTCCCCCGCCTGCCTGGCCCTCGCAGGCTTCCTGGCCCACCCGCCCTGGCGCTCTGCCCTCCAGACCCGCCCCAGCGGCAAGAGGACCGGGCTTGCTCGTTCCGACCCGGGCTGCGGCGGTGCAGGACCGGTGCTGCCTGGGGGGCCCAAGGGGCTCGGCAGGGTGCCCCCGCCGGGCCACCTGCTGTACTCACAGCTCCGCCCGGGATGGCCCTCCGCGCAGGCATCCTGACGCCCACACCCTCCCGGGCGTCCTCAGCAAGGAGCGCCCTCGCCTCCCGACACCGCAGAGGGGCCCCGCTCCCCCCGACACGTGACCGAGAGGCCGAGACGGCTAATGACAGGGTGTGGGCCGAGAGGCCCCCCCGCACCCGGCCTATTTCTGAATCACGCAAGCTGTGCAAACAAGCGGCGCTCATGAGTCAGCGCCCAGATGCTGGTGCCACGCGCCGCCCGGGGGATGAGGCTCCCCCCTCGCTGTCAAAACAGCGGGCCCTTCTCTGGCAAGAGTTCTCCCTTTCAAACACGCATTCATCAAGCCACAGCTGGCAAGGAACGAGTCTCTGAGCATGCACAGAGCGGCTTGTGGAACTCAAACTAGCTCCCACGCCTTCTCCCCGCACCTGCAGAGGCCGACAGCTCTCAGGGTCTGCCTGAACACCCGGAGGGGGCACCCTTGCAACGAGCCCCTCGGCGCCACCGGCCCGGCACCTGCAGGCTCGTCCTCCGGGTGGCTGGGGGTTGGAGCGCGCGCCAAGTGCCACGGCCTCTTCCCTCGCCGACAGCAGGGCGGGGAGGCAGCGTGAGGGGCAAGGGGTGCGCCCCGCCAGCAGCACACCCAGCTGCAGTAGGCAGAGCTCCCCACTGCTGGGGGGCACCGCCGCTCCAGCCTGCAGGGTGTGTGAGAGACCCTCCCTGCCGCACACGGGGGCTGGGGGCTCATAGAGGAGCCGGGCCCGTCCAAAGGCAGCCCTGCAGAGCCGGGCAGAGGCTGCAGCTGCCCGTGTGGCCGGCCCCGGGACTCGATGCCCAGGCAGGCTTCGGGGCCCCCCAGGAATGCTGCGAAGCCAGCAAGGATGGCAAGCAGCCCTGGCAGCCGTTGCCTCTGTCGGTCGTCTCTCGGCAGGTGAGTGGGACATGAGGCCACCAACCCCAGGGCAGGCTCAGCAGAACCTGCCCCCAAGCATCCCACCCACAGCCCAGCCACACCTGCAGAGTCCCCCTGCCCCCCTCCACCCGTACCCCCTTGCACAACACAGGTGGGTCAGCCTTGCCAGAACCAGTGGTCAGCCCCCCATGCAGAGCGAGAGGTTCTGCCCCCACCAGCCCATGGGCTGCCCGAGAGAGACCCGCCATACACACGGGAAGCAGAAAACTCCCAAAACGCTGGTACTAGAAAGGGGCACCCCCCAGATACACTAACTCGGCTCATGGTGCTCACACGGAAAGGCCCCCGTTTCAATTCGAATCCCCGGGATCCTCCACGGGAGTCACGGTGCTGCTGAGCCAGCCTGCGCTTTTGCGGCTCTCTCGCTCCTGATGGTCCGGGCTGATTCCCCCCAGGCCATGCGGAAGAGCGCAGCCGAGCCCCCGGGACCACCACCTGCCCGCACCTCCTACGGCTCCCCCACCCCCGGGCCCCGGGCACAAGGGCCACTCACCAGCCGCTCCATCTCCTGCTCCCGGAGACGCTCCTGGCGCTGCCACCGGTGGTACTCCAGCAGGCCGCCCTCACTGCCCCCGAGCTCCGAGATGCTCTGCTTGCGCTCCCGTGTGGGCACGGCCCCCGGCTGCTGCGCGTCCCCAGACAGCCTCCGCTGCACCCGCGGGCTCTGGCGGGGCGAGGTGGAGGGCAGGCTGAGGGAGCCGAGGCTTGGGGCTGGGCTGAGGCCAGGGCCACAGCCGGGCCGGCACTGGGTCGGCTCCCCCGCCAGCGCCGTGGGCGAGGGGCTACGGCCACGCAGGCCAGACGGAGGGGAGGCGGCGCCATCATCCAGGAGTGGCCTCCGCCAGGCAGAGGGGCTCTCGCCGGCTCTGGGCTGCGGTGGAGGGCCGGGCGGGACCACCCGTCGGGACAGGGCCGGGCTGAGCGGGGGCAGCTCCCGCATGCTCTCCGGGGGCCGCCTCACGGGCCGGGGGCTCTCAGGGGGCTGCGTGGCCCGGCCAGCCAGGTGGCTGCGCCCAGGGCCTCCCGCCTCCATGGCCTGGAAGGCCCGTCCCAGGCTTGGCCGCGAAGGGCTGGCCGGCCCCTCCCGGAAGGGGCTCGGGGGCCTCTCCTGCAGCGCCGCAGCCTTGCTCTGTGGGGCGGGGGGTGGCTGGGGCTTGGGGGTCGCGTGTGGACTGCTGGGCCGCTGGGCCCATGGGCCACGTGGCGGTCCATCGCCCAGGCCAGCGGGCAGCGTGGGCAGAGGGGAGCTATGCTGGCTGGGGAGGGGGCTCTCCCCAGAAGGACGGGCCCCACGGCCAGGGGTGGGGCTGGGGGCCCCTTCCCGCCTGGCCCTCCTCGCCCTCCGCGGGCTCCCCGTGCCTTGTGTGGGGCTGCATGTGGTGGGGCCGCTTGGCACGTCCAGGCCCGGCCCGGCAGGGGCTGTCCGCACAGCGTGGTGGTAGCTAGAGGAGCGGACAGGCACCTCGGGGGGGCTGGCAGGGCCCAGGCTGTGGCCGCCGGGCGAGGGGCTGGTGCAGCCGCTGCTGCTGGCAGGGGAGGAGAGCGGGGAGAAGGGTGGAGAGGTGTTCTCGTAGCTGGAGCTGGCCGAGGTGGCTCCCGGGCTCTGCGGCGGGGAGAGCAGGCAGCGCCCGGCCCGGCCACGTGCCCCGGAGGCAGCCTCAGGTGACAGAGCGGTGCTGGGGGGCAGCCGGGGGGTGCAGCCCTCCTCCTCCAGCACCAGCGCGTCCATGATGTCCTGCAGGTCCCGCTCGATGGAGCTGACCAGGGCGCTGTGGCTCGGCCGGGAGGCCTTGCCCGTCTCCTGGCCGCCGTTGACGAGGCCCGGGGGCTCTGTGGAGGAACAGGCGAGGCGGCCATGAGGGGCAGGCCGGCGGCGGCTCCCCAGCCCCACCTCTGCGGAGCCTGTCAGCGGGCCTTCCACAGGAACAGAGGCTGTCTCCTTCTGGAAGCCCGCCCGACCAGATACCCCGGACTCAGACTGGGCCCCCCGCTCTGGGCAGCCCCACAGCTTGCGGCACACCAGTGAATTCCTGGGGCCGTGGGGCAGCTGGCGAGTGTTCCACGCCTGGCACCACCAGGGCCGAGGGGCATGTGCCCGCTGCGTGCTCAGGGCCCCCGAATCTGCCCACAATGCGGCCTGGTCATTGCCGCCTGCCGCCAGCCGCCCTCGTGCCCCTGCGCAGCGAGGCCCCCACCTGCCGGGCGGCCGGACAGGGGCACCGGGCTCTGCCTCCCCGCAGGAATCATGCTCTTCATCCACTTGGCCTCCTCCGGGTGGTTGAACCGCAAGAAGGTAGCCTGGCCCAGGCAGATCATGCACCCTGGAAAGGAAGCGAGAGGGGGGGGGGGCCCCTGGGGGGGGGGGGGCCGGGGGCGCCCCCCCCCCCCCCGCAGAAGGGGCAGGAAGCCTTCCCGCTCCGTCGTGGCATCCTGCGGGGGTCAGACGGACAAGGCTGTGCCACGCCCGGCCCCGGAGAGGCCTCGGACTGCACTGCTGGAGTCTGCTTTTCATTAAGGCTGCTAGGAACAGGGTCGTTTCAGCTACTTTGTAGCCGAGGAATTTAAATAGTTGCTGCTCCTCTTCCCCTCCTGGCATTGCAAGACTTGCTGCTCTAGCACTGATATTTCTTTTCGTTACTGTTTGGATGCTGCTTAGCTTGCAAACCAGCTTGAGGGGGACCGCCTGCCAAGGGAGGCTCCCTCTAAGTGCACTGCAGAGCTGAGCAGCGCGGGTGACCCTCAGCTGTGGTGACCCACAGGAGCCCCCCGCTGCACCCTGGGGCACGCCCCCTCCTCAGGCCGCCCGAGCCCTGCAGGGCCTCCATCTCCGTGGCAGGGGAACCTGCCCACAGGGCTGCCGGAGGGATCCCTGGATCCCACCGGGATGCGCAGAGCGCCGGGAGGCTGCCCAAGGAACGGGGCGGAAAGCCAAGCAAGCGGCAGGCAGGCAGTGCGAGAGGCGCTCCGGGCCGGGTTGGGGGCCAGAAAGCCCAAGGATGTGTCGCCATGTGTGCCCGTTGGCCCCCTCCCCAGCTGCCTCAGCGGTGTGAACAGCCTCTCTGAGGGGAGCCACCCTGCACACCCCCAGCGTGGTGCTGGCTGGCGAGCCGGGGCTGAGCCACAGGCCATGCGCCCAGGGAGCGGCTCTTGAGCCCCCCTGGCCAGTCGGCAGGCAAGCCGGCCTCTGCCTGCATCTTGGGGCAGAGCACGCACGAGGCAAGGGTGGGCCGGTGCAGCCTTCCCTCCACCGGCGAGGGCAGTCTCTCCCTCCACAAGGAGCCAAAGGCACGACGCAACCAGCCTTGTGCTTCCCGGACGCCGGCCACATCCCAGGGATGGCCGGCAGCTCCACATCACCCAGAACCAGCTCCCAGCTAAGGAGAAAACACCCTCCTGCCCCCAGAACCACAGAAGTCGTGCTGGCACCATTTTCCCGACCGTCTCTGAAACAAACAAACAAATGAAATTGAGGGTTGCTATAAACAGCCCCTGCTCTGCTCCTCCCCGGAACGCACCCGTGCACTCTGGCCTTCACCAAGCAGCACTGCCCGAGCACAGCTCCGCACAGTCGGCAGAGGAGGGAGCCCGTCCGGCGGGGGCGCCTCCTCCTGGAGGCTCCATCACACAGACGCAGCACAGCGTGCCAGAGGGAGGGATGGAGGCCGGCCAGCCGGCCAGCCAGCCAGCCTCCCCGATCCCCCAAGCAAGCAGCCCTTCCGCCGGAGCCGCCAGGAGACTCGTGGGAACGGGCCACCCCACCCCTCTGCCAGGGGTGGGCCACTGCAGGGGAGGGCTCCCTAGCCAGGGGTGGGCGACTGGCATCCTCCCAGGGCCGGGCCAGCCCAGCCCAGCCCGTGGCCACAGGTGAAGGCACCGGCAACGCCCGCACCGCTCACGCCTCCTGCCCTCTCCTGTGCGAGTGCTGCTGGACCCACCGGAAGCACGACCCGCTCGGCCCCAGCTCGCCTCCACCCCTGCGCACCAGAGGCCCCACACGGGCCTCGCCCTCCCCACCACTTGGCCACCTGCCGCACGCCTGCCCCACCCCCCGCCCCACGCAGCATCCAGAAATGGCGGCGGCAGGCCTGAGCCGAAGGAAGCCAGAGCCCCGTTTCCCCAGAGGGCAGGAGGCCCAGTCACACAAGCCTCCTGCCCTGGCCCTCTTCCTCCTCACCGCCAGGGAGGCTGCAGAATCGAGGGGAGGGCTGCCTCTGCGGGACGGTCTGGACCATTCCCCAACAAGTCATCCACCTGCTAAAAATCCTCTCCCTACGGTACTTTTGCCCCACAAGGGACAAGATCTCTGCATTCTGCTTTTGAAGAAAAAGACCAAGATGGCAGGGAAGAAACAGAGAAACAGTGGAAGGCAGAAGGGGCCTCCTCTTCCTCAGAGACTGCGTTCCGACAGTGGGCCAAAGGGGGCCTGAGTGGGGGGCTGACCCTCCGTGCACGCCGACTCCAGAGCTGCAGCCCCTTGCCCACACCTGCGGACCAGGAGAAGCTGCTCCGGCGGGAGGCCCTCTCAGCTCAGCCCCGTCGGCTGGAAACCGAAGGAAACGCAATGCACGGCAACCTCAGGAGGTGCTGCAGAGGAGGAGACTACTGCGGATCCCTGAGCCACCGGCCTTGCTCCTTTTGCCCCCAGAGGGCAGAGAGGCTTCTGCGCCTGGACCAGCCCCTCCCCCCCAGGGCTCCAAGGCTGACCTTGGGGTGCACTGCAGCCCCCCACTGGCCACAGTGAGCCCCCCTTGGGCACGGCTCAGGAGCCACGGGAAGCCTCTTTGCTTTGACTGGGCTGCAGGGAAACAGGCCCCGCCGGCACCCTCGGCCGGGCCCTCCTCTAGCAGGGCTCTGGCTCCCAGGCCCGGCCGGTCCCTCGTGGCCCGCCAGGACCTCACTGGCCAGCAGTCAGCCAGCAGGGAAGCAGCCCCGGGGGGGAGAGGGCAGCCGTCCGGCCTCGTCCTGGGAAGAGGCGGAAGTGCGCAGTCAGGCTGGAGACGGAACAGGTGGCGGGGGGGGGGGGACCTCGGCAGGCGGCACGGCAGCTGCAGTGCGGCCAGCAGGGCCCCGTCTCGGGCCCCTCATGCGAGGCCGCCCCTCCCCAGCAAGCCACTCTCGGCCCCCCAGGTCGGCAGCCGCGGAAGCGAGCCGTGGGCGCGCACCTCCCCCGGACTGGGGTGCGGGTGGCACACGGGGCGCTTCCTCGGCGCTTCTGCGCCCGCGGCAGCCCCGCCAGCGAGGCAGCGCCAGCCGCGCCGTCTCCCTTCTCGCAAGGGTCAATCGAGGCCGGCCCGCATCGACCGACGGACGGCCGCCTGCCCGGGGCACCGAAGATTCTCGGGGAGGCGGCCGGGAGATCGGCAGGGCCCGCCCTCCCCGCGCTCCCGGCCGCCCCGCGGAGCCCAACCTGCGCCGGACCGGCCGGGCCGGACACGCCGCCTCGCTCCGCCCCCGCCGGCGGCCCCGAGGGGGGCGGCGCCCCCGCTTCCTCGAGAGCCGCCGCCGCGTGCCACGTCTCCCGCGGGCAGCGCCCCCCCGGGGCACGGGGGGCGGCGGCCTGCGCGGGACCACCC